ATGCATTCCTGTGTTCACTGGAGCATTGCTTATAATAGCCAACACATGGAAGCAAAAACTAGGTGTCTAGCGATAGATGAACGGGTAAACAAGATGTGGTGTGTCTTCATCATGGACTATTATGTAGCGATAAAAAAGAACGAAAGCTTGTCATTTGCAACCACATGGATAGATCTAGAGGGTATTATGCTAAGTGAGATAAGTCAGACAAAGACAAGTACCATATGACTTCACTTTAGAAGTGGCATCTAAAAAAAAAACAGAACAGCTCTAGCTGGTTTGGCTCAGTGGATAGAGCATTGCATGCAGACTGAAAGATCCCAGGTTCAATTCCAGTCAAGGGCACATGCGTGGGTTGCAGGCTCGATTCCCAGTGAGGGGCGTGCAGGAGGCAGCCAATCTCATCATTGACGTTTCTCTCTCTTTCACCCTCTCCTTTCCTCTCTGAAATCAATAAAAATATTTAAAAAATAAATAAATATCTGGGGGGTGAGGGTATGTGGGGGGGGCAATAGTAAGATATGTATACATATAATACCTTAATAAAAAAAAATGAAAATAAATAAATAAAATGAAAAAACAAATGAATAAACAAAACAGTAAGACCCATAGATATAGAGAATAAGCTGATGTTTGCCAAAGGGGGGTGGTTAGGGGAGTTGGGGGAGGGGAAGAAAGCAACAAGTGCAAAGGCCTTGAAGTGGCATTTTTATTTACTTTTTTATTTTTGGGGAGTGAAAATATAAACTTGGGAGTATTTTATTTTTTATTTTTAAAATTTCTTTATTGATTAAGGTGTTACATAGGTGTCCTTATCCCCCCATTACCTCCCAATTCCCCCCACTCATGTCCTCACCCCCCTGTTGTCTGTGTCCACTGGTTAGGCCCATATGCATGCATACAAGTCCTTTGGTTGATCTCTCCCCTTCCCCCCACCCTCCCCAACCTTCCCTTGAGGTCTGATGGTCTGATCGATGCTTCTCTGTGAAGTGGCATTTTTAAAAAAGAGCTGGCAGGCCTGGAGTGGCACTGCCTTCAGGATGAGGAGGCACAAGATGCAACTGAAGGGACCAGGCGGACTTCCCCTGGGTGCCACGAGGGACCAGAGGAGAGACCAGACACCCCTCCCCCAACAGTAGCATCTAGCCTTTGTGGAGGGCTCCCAACAGGACCCTTCAGGTGAATGAATCTCATTTAAATCTCAGAACAGCCGAAACCAGTTTAGCTCAGTGGATAGAGTGTTGGCGTGCGGACTGAAAGGTCCCGGATTCGATTCCAGTCAGGGGCATGTACATTGGATGCGGGCACATCCCCAGTGGGGGGTGTGCAAGAGGCAGCTGGTCGATGAATCTCATCGACGTTTCTAACTCTCTATCCCTCTCAATTCCTCTCTGTGTAAAATCAATAAAATATATTTTTTAAAAATTAAAAAAAATAAATCTCAGAACCACCTGGTGAGGCTCTATCCTTCCATTTTGCAGGTGAGCGAATTGAGAAGGGAAGACACTCACTCAAGGAATCACACTGACGTGGCAGGGCAGGTGTTTCACTTGCTTTAAAAAACCCGCGTCACTAAGGCCCATTTGCATACAGTAGGTGCATGTGTTTTGAGTTTGCAGTTCAATAGGTTTAGCAATGTTTACATCCACGTATCTATCACCACAATCAAGATATTGAACATTTCCACCACCCAAAACGCTCCGTGCCTCTTCCCAGCCAATCCCCACGCCCGTCCCATGCCCCAAGCAATCCGTGATCCGTTTTCTGATTCTATTAATTCAATTCGTCTTACCTAGACTGCCATAAAAATGGAATTATACAATATGTACTCTTTTAGGTCTGGCTTCATATGTCATCTCTTGTGAAGTTTCCAAAGTGTTTGCTGTTTTGTTCTGTTATTGAGATTTGAGAGTCCTTCCTACATCTGGATACCAGTCTCAAATTTGAAACGTGTACTGCAAATAGTTTCTTCCAGTTTGTGGTTCACCTTTTCATTTAGCTAATGATGACTTTCTAAGAATAGATTTGTATTTATTTCAGACTTTAAAAAACATGTCTATTGATTTCAAAGAGGAAGGAAGGAGAGAGAGAGAGAGAGAGAAACATCAATGATGAGAATCATTGATTAGCTGTCTCCTATACACCCCACACTGGGGATTGAGCCTGCAACTGGGCATATGCCCTTGACCTGAATTGAACCCTGGACTCTTCGGTCCTGTTCCAACTCACTCTCAGGTGGGAACGTATACACAGGTGACTGGGGTTCCTCAGCCAGAAACTGGACTTATATGGGTTGCCCACAGTTCTTACTAAATTTGACTGAGCATAAACTAAAAACAAGAGACAAACATTGAAGATGCACGAATCACACGGTTTATTTACCAGAGTCCTGGTGGTTTCCAGAAGCCTAGGCAGGTCACCTGGAGATCTGCGCCGACAGACACACACTGGACAGGAACGATGCCGGCAGTGCTTCGGCCACAGGGGAGGCCTCAGAGGTTTGGCTCCCAGGCAGAGTGACAGCGTGAGGGCAGAGCTTCACGCGGTATTTCGAACAGGAACAGGAAGGGAGCGAGAGTCGCCGTCAGTGGAGGAGCATCAGGGGCCTCTAGGTCCCTTCTTTTATGGCCATTCTGGGTGTTCCCTTGTTCCTTCTGGGTGTAACCAGTGGGTCTTCAGTGTGTGTTATCGGGGGTCTCACAGGCAGCATTACCTGGCACATTGCTGCTTGTTTACAACTTTAGAGATTAACACATGTTAGGGCGTTCACACTTGGGGTAAACTTGTCTACAACTTTAAAGATTAGCACCTGTTAGGGCATTCACATACACTCAGGGTTACAACTTCAAAATATGCACTCTAAGTTTCAAAATGGGGTTAGTTATGCTAGGTTTAAATCACACAAGGTAAACACTTCCACTTAAGTTTAAATCACACACTTATAACTATAACAAGCCCGCAGGCTGACATTCTATCCACTGAGCAAAACAGCTAGGGCTATTTCACACTTTTTTTCCTTTTATGGCTCATGCTTATGTCTTATCAAAAGAAATCTCTGCTTACTCTTAGGTCACAAATTTTTTTCTCCTGCATTTTCTTCATTAAGTTTTATTGTTACAGTTTAATGGTTTTTGTTTTACAGTTAGGTTTAGAATCAATATTTAATTACATATAGGCTACAAAGAATCAAAGCTCATTTTTTCCCCATATGGATGTCTGGCTATCCCAGCTTTATTTGTTAAAAAAGCCTACTTTTTCTTCACTTGAATTCTCTTCACTTTGTCACAAAACAATTGACTATATATGTGTGGATCTATTTCTGGATTTTATTCTGTTCCATAGATTTGTTTTGATATGTTTCTATTATGCTAGTATTACACTGTGTGGCCTCTGATCTCATTCTTTTTCAAAACTGTATTGGCTATTCTGGGTCTTTTGAATTTCTCTATATATTTTAGCATCAGCTTGTCAATTTCTATCAATAAAATCTACTGAGATTTTTAAAAAATATATATTTTATTGATTTATTTTTACAGAGAGGGAGAGAGAGGGATAGAGAGTTAGAAACATCGATGAGAGAGAATCATCGATCAGCTGCCTCTTGCACACCCCCTACTGGGGATGTGCCCGCAACCAAGGTACATGCCCTTGACCGGAATGGAACCTGGGACATTTCAGTCCGCACGCCGATGCTCTATCCACTGAGCCAAACCGGTTTCAGCAAAAATGAATGTGTTTTTGACACTCTATATGGTGGATGAACCTTGAAGACAAATAAAGGGAAACATCACTAAAAAAGGGGTCAGAAGGCCAGTAGGGGGAGCTCTCACTCAGTACTACTGTCGCTAAGGACAATAATGGTCATTTACAGACCCCAACAGAAAAGATGTACATTGCAGCTCTTCCAGGAACTGCACCACCCAGCAACTCAGGGAATGAGAACTTTCAGTTCCCTGAACGCTTCTCGCCTTTCTCCAATGGACTTTTGTTAAAACAACTCCTCCCAACTTCCTCTTTTTCTCTCCATAAAACAATGTTCCTCTCTTTTGTTTGTCAATTTGCCTATTTGCTTGTGGCTTTTGCTATAGCTTGCTTGTTCTGAATTACTATTCTTGGCGCTTCCCTAGTAAACCCATTTGTGCTGGTAAAAATCCTAATGGCCCTTGGCAGAAAAGAGGTTCCCTACCCCTCCTCTAAGTCTTTTCTCAACTGATACACTTCCAGCCAGGCCTGCCCTGACCCTATTTACAATGGCAACCTACCTGCCCATCTCCTTCCCCGGTGCATTCTTTATGGTTCACCACTTACCTCTCTTTAATGTACTGAATAATTTACTTATTTTAAAGTTACTGTTTGTTACGTACATCTCTTTCCTCCCAACCTCTATAATGTAAGCTCCATGAGGGCAAGGTTCTTTACTTAGTGCCTGGCACATGGTAGGAGACTGTTAAACATTTGTGGAATGTCTGAATGAATAATGTTGTGTTGTTCTTACAACACATAAACTTCACGTACAAGACAACCTAGAACTATCCTCAGTCCCCAAAAGTAGTCCCTTCACAGCCCCACCCGGACTCCCAAACCTCCCAGGTCTGCCTCCCCACAACCCCGCCCGCCACCGCGGAGCATGCGCAGTTCACGCCCATCGACGCCTCCCACAGCCCCTGGGACTGAGGCCCGTCACCCCCAAAGCACACACACAGTCGCCCGCGCTGCGCCCACGTGACTGGCGTCGCACCCGGTGAGCGTCACGTGACGGACTCAGCTTTCCTCCAATCGTTGTGTACGTTGTGGAGATTCCACCCAGAACCCGGGCCGCGATGTAAAACGCCCCATTGTCCTGCCGGCCGGGCGGGCCGCCCTCCCGCCCCCAGCGGGGCAGCGGGGCCTCTCACGGGTCCTCGTCTGGAGCGGCACCGGGAAGCCCCGGCCTGTAACGCGCTCAGACCCGGAAGTGACGTCTCCCAGAGGGGCCGGAAGTGGCAGTGGAGGGAGGGAAGATGGCGGAGGTGGTGAGTCCGGTGCCCGGGGCGGGGCGGAGGGAGCCAGGGGAGGCGGGTAGAGCCCGAGGACCCCCAGTAGCCGACCCTGGCGCCGCGCTGTCTCCCCAGGGGGAGATCATCGAAGGCTGCCGCCTGCCGGTGCTGCGGCGGAACCAGGACAACGAGGATGAGTGGCGTGAGTGACGTCGGGGGGCGGGGCTAAGCGACCCGAGGGCGAGGGGCGGGAGGGAGTCAACCGAACCCTCGGGAGGAGGAGGGACCGGGAGGATTCTGGGGCGGGCGGGGCCCGGGCCCCCGGAGGGCGTGGCCTGTGCGGCTCCGCGAGGGGCAGGGCGGGGCTTGCAGAGGGGGTGGCTCTGGGAGGGTGGCCGGGGGCTCGGGCGAGAGCTCCCCGGTGCCGGGGCGCAGAGATCGGCTCGGGAGTGTGGTCCGGGGGAGAAGGGTGGAGCCTCACGGCCTGACCCTTCTGTGGCCCCTGTGCTGTTCCGCAGCCCTGGCCGAGATCCTGAGCGTGAAGGACATCAGTGGCAGGAAGCTTTTCTACGTTCATTACATTGACTGTGAGTGGCGGGCTGGGTAAGGAGGGGCCGCGGGGCAGGGTGGGGGGATGGTCTCTGGCACTCCTTCCTGAGCCGTCCCCACCGCTGCAGTCAACAAACGCCTGGATGAATGGGTGACCCACGAGCGGCTGGACCTGAAGAAGATTCAGTTCCCTAAGAAAGAGGCCAAGACCCCCACCAAGAACGGGCTCCCTGGGTCCCGCCCTGGCTCTCCCGAGAGAGAGGTGGTGAGTAGGTCCCCTGCTTCACCTCCTCTCCTGCCATCGCCTCCGCCTCTCCTCTCTTGGCTTCAGTGGTTCCTGGATGGGCTGGAGGCAGCACCCTCCCATCCTGGTTTCTGCTTGCAAAGGATGGGGACCAAATCGCAGATGGAGCTTCCAGAGTCCAAAGGCTATTCCTGTGTCCTTGAGAGGGTGGGGTTTGATGATTCCATGCCGAGGGGCCCCCCACTCCCCTGCCCCATCCCCACCCCAGAGGAAGACCCTGGACCTATCTCTACAGCCGGCCTCCGCACAGGCCAGCGGGAAGACCTTGCCAATCCCGGTCCAGATCACGCTCCGCTTCAACCTGCCTAAGGAGCGGGAGGCCATTCCCGGCGGTGAGCCCGACCAGCCGCTCTCCTCCAGCTCCTGTCTGCAGCCCAACCACCGCTCCACGGTACCCTCAGCAATTCCAGGGACCTTGCTTTCCTCTCAGGTCCCGCCTTCTCTACCCTCTGACCCACCTTTCTTGGTTTCTCTCTGCAGAAACGAAAGGTGGAGGTGGTTTCACCAGCAACTCCAGTGCCCAGTGAGACAGCCCCAGCCTCAGTTTTTCCCCAGGTGAGTCCTCCAGACACCTTTTCTTCCCTTCCTTCCTTCCTTCCTTCCTTCTGGTAGCCCCTTTCCAACGCATCTCACAGCCACTGCTGTTCCTGTCATCTCACCTACAGAATGGAGCAGCCCGCAGGGCGGTGGCAGCTCAGCCAGGACGGAAGCGAAAATCCAATTGCTTGGGCACTGATGAGGTGGGTCTGGGAAGAGGGAGGCTGAGTGAAAAGGAAGGGACGTAGACAGGTGGAGTTCAGTGGCTTAGTTTAAAAATAAACCACAGTGGTCTTGGTTTCTTTATCTGGAGCGTGGGGATTATGTAGTATAGCGGTCGGCAAACTCATTAGTCCACAGAGCCAAATGTCAACAGTACAACGATTGAAATTTCTTCTGAGAGCCGAAAACCGACTTCTGCGCATGGGCCATGAAATTTCAATCGCACCATATGTGTGCGCCTGCACGTGGTATTTTGTGGAAGAGCCACACTTAAGGGGCCAGAGAGCCCCATGTGGCTCTTGAGCCGCAGTTTGCCGACCACTGATGTGGTACCTCCCCCACAAGGCTGCTGTTAGGCTTGAACAAGGGAACCTGGGGGGCGGGGGGCAGGGGGAGCAGTGCCGTGAGCTGTGGTCTCCTGTAACCCAGTGTCTTCCCCTGGCCCCGGGCAGGACTCCCAGGACAGCTCAGATGGAATTCCATCAGCTCCGCGCATGACGGGGAGCCTGGTGTCCGACCGGAGCCACGACGACATCGTCACCCGGATGAAGAACATCGAGTGCATCGAGCTGGGCCGCCACCGCCTCAAGCCGTGGTACTTCTCCCCGTACCCACAGGAGCTAACCACACTACCAGTCCTCTATCTCTGCGAGTTCTGCCTCAAGTATGGCCGAAGCCTCAAGTGTCTGCAGCGTCACTTGGTACGAAGGGGCCAGGTACTGCCCTACGCCACCCCCATCCTTCGCCACCCTGACCCGCCTCTCTCCCTCAGACCAAGTGTGACCTGCGCCATCCCCCAGGCAACGAGATTTACCGCAAAGGCACCATCTCCTTCTTTGAGATCGATGGACGCAAGAATAAGGTGAGTGACGGAGGCTCAGTGCCGAGTCCTGGGAACTTGGAGTCTGGGGGAAGGCAAATGAGAAGGTTCTTCCTGCTTAGGAAAACACTGACCAGTCCGGCCAACAAGTTGGCTTGCATCAGTTTTATTGAGTTCCCATCCTGTCTCTCCCTGAAGGGCAGGTGCTGGGAGATAAAAACATGACCAGGAATTAGACAGAAATCTCTGCTAAGAGCTCAGTCCATGGAGAAAACAGACACACCGATTGCCACTTTTTTTTTTTTTTTTTTAATACATTTTATTGATTTTTTTACAGAGAGGAAGGTAGAGGGACAGAGAGCTAGAAACACTGATGAGAGAGAAACATCGACCAGCTGCCTCCTGCACACCCCCTACCGGAATGTATATGCCCTGGACCGGAATTGAACCCAGGACCCTTCCGTCTGTAGGTCGACGCTCTATCCCCTGAGCCAAACCAGTTTCAGCCCGATTGCCACTTATTAAAAAAATATATTTTATTGATTTTTCACAGAGAGGAAGGGAGAGGGATAGAGAGCTAGAAACATCGATGAGAGAGAAACATCGACCAGCTGCCTCCTGCACACCCCCCACCGGGGATGTGCCCACAACCAAGGTACATGCCCTTGACCGGAATCGAACCCGGGACCTTTCAGTCCGCAGACCGACGCTCTATCCACTGAGCCAAACCGGTTTTGGCGCCGCCTTTTTTTTTTTTTTTTTTTTTTTTTTTTTTAAATGCTCATCCGAGTACATATCTTTCCATTGATTTTTAGAGAGAAGAAGAGAGGGAAAGACAGAGAAATAGCGATGTGAGAGAAACACATGATTGGTTGCCCCCTGCACACATACCGACCGGGGCCTGGGTCAGGGAGGAGCCTGCAACTGAGGTACATGCCCTTGACCAGAATTGAACCCGACGCTCCATCCACTGAGCCAAGCCGACCAGGGCCCAATGGCCACTTTAGATCTCCCCGTGTGTTAGGTATCCTGAAGCAGAGGCTGCGTTATTAGGGCCCAGAGGAGGCAGTACCAAAGCTTCCCAGAAGAGGTGACTTTTGAGCCTTGACATGAAGGACTCCCAAGCATGGGGTTCTGAGGGGCAGGCATGTGAGGGTAGGTGTGAAGGGCAGAGGATGAGGGGAAGCTGTTACCAGGGACAGAGCTCCGGAGGTGGGAGTGAGGCAGGGGGGAGAGTTGGGGACACCGTAAGTGTAAAGCTTCCAGCCTGCTTTAGTCTGGTTGTGGGGAGGAAGGGGTAACCTGGAGGCACCGTTGAGAGACTCCCCCGTTTCTGGGGCCCAGAAGGTGGTGAGGGGGGCAGGCACCTTGCCTGGCAGCGGAGCGCTCTGGCTTGCGTGCGGGGAGCTTGAGAGGAAGAGCCGCTTTACCTGTTCTGTGTTAAGGGTGAACATGGCACCCAGGTGGCAGTGCCCAGCATGTAGCCAGGAGAGCTCTGGCTTGCGTGCGGGGAGCTTGAGAGGAAGAGCCGCTTTACCTGTTCTGTGTTAAGGGTGAACATGGCACCCAGGTGGCAGTGCCCAGTCATGTCTGAAGCACAGGATAATTATGTGCAGAGGTAAAAGCAAAAGCAATAAGTTTTTTGGGCAGGGGGCTCCTAAGGCTATTTTTTAAGTTCTAGAATGTCTTACCTCAGTTTAGACTGAGTCAGTTCCCAAGAGGTGTAACTGTAGGCAAGAGTTGCATTTTTTTTTTTTTTTTTTTTTTTTTTTTTTTTTTAAGCAATCTTTATTGTTCATATTATTACAAAGGTTCCTCATTTCTTCCCCCCTCCACCAGGTTCCCACCCCACCCTCCGTCCCCCCCCATCCCCCATTGTCCTCATCCATAGGTGCAGTTTATGTTCAGTCTCTTCTTCCCTCAATTTCCCCAATAGTAAATCCCTTTTCAGATAGTAAATCAGTTACTTAGCATTTTCTCATATAAGAGTTGCATTTTTGACAGCCAGACTCCTGTCACATGGGCAGGGCTTCTCTCATCAGCCTCGTCAGCCTTCCTGGGTGCAAGTCAGCTTGTTGGCTGCTGACGACAGCACAGGGCAGTGCGGTCCCCAGGGCTGACTCAGGTGGAGGCATGTCCAGGGCTGGTCCATGGCTTCTCCACACTGCAGAGTGGCCCTGCCCGATGGCATCAGGCCTCAGGGAGGAAGGCGAGCCACCCGTCAGCCTGGGCCACAGAGCAGCCCTGTGGACGTGCCATGCTGGGATCGGGTGCCCGGGGCGCTGACAGGCCTTTTCCGTCACAGAGTTACTCCCAGAACCTGTGTCTTCTGGCCAAGTGTTTCCTCGACCACAAGACCTTGTACTACGACACGGACCCTTTCCTCTTCTACGTCATGACGGAGTACGACTGCAAGGGCTTCCACATCGTGGGCTACTTCTCCAAGGTGAGCGCCGCCTGCCTCTCCTCAGCCCCCTCTGCCTGGGCCAGTCCCCGCCCTCACCCCCACTGCCTCCTCCCAGGAGAAGGAGTCGACCGAAGACTACAACGTGGCCTGCATCCTGACCCTGCCTCCCTACCAGCGCCGGGGCTACGGCAAGCTGCTCATCGAATTCAGTGAGTACCTCTGCTCCCATCACAGAGGCTCTGATTCTCAGCCCGGCACCTCGGCTAGAAATCAAGAGGGGCCTCTTCCAAGATTCTTTCATTCTCAGGTTCACTGCCACGGTCAGCTGGGGTGGCATCTCAGGATTAGGTTCTCAGCCCCTCACTGCTCCTTGACCAAGGCTCTAAGCATCACCCACCTCTCCCCAAATTTGACTCACATCCTGCCCAGGGCCATGAGCTGAAGCCGAGTGAGACACTGCTGCTCATCCCTCTGCCTCTCTGTTGTCCTGCAAGTTCCGGGATGAGGACCAGCTGTGTTCGGAGCTTGGTAGACAGATGTTCAAAGTGCTGCTCATTCAGCAGATGGAAACCGATTGCATGGTTATGGCCCTGTCCAGTGTCTTAAGCCCAGAAGGGACTCTGCCCTCATCCCTCATGAACTCTTCAATGTCCCCTCCGATCCCAAGTCCCCCTTCTGCTGCCCAGCCCCCCTCTCCCGTTCTGTTCACTCGCCATTCACTGAGCTAGCCAAGCTCCGAGCTGGAAGGCGGGGAGGGGGCCTTAGCTGTTCGGGAAACCAGGCTGGACTTGACAGGGTCGTGACCCACTGGGGAAATGTTATTGGGAGAATGATGCTGCGATGGGGCCACATCTTTAGAAGCCCTCAGCCTGGCAACAGGTGATGCTTAACGAAGCTGCAATGGAGAAGGGTGCAGGCAGGGCTACCAAGAAGGGGTGCTCAGTTTGGCAGTCAGGGTGGGAGGTGTGAGTCAGTGTGGTGTCCAGTGGATCTGTCAGGACTTGACACACACCATGACCCAGCAAGGTTAAGGTTAAGCCTGGTGTGTTGCGTCCTCCGTGCTTTCTCTCCAAACATGATCCTCTGTGCCCTCCACACCGGCTTCCTTGGTGGAAGTCGTGAGGTTGGGCAAGAGGGCCAGACTGGCTGACAAAGATGAACCGAGAGCAGGGAACACAAAGCGCTTATGACTGAGGATGAGGAGGGTGGAGAATCCCAGGGCGGTGAAGACTGCCCAAGAGGCCCTGCAGGTCTGAGTTCTCACCAGGAACCGCCAGTGCCAGCTCAGCAGGCCAGAGGGCAGAGCAGCTGAGTGGGAGGGAGCTTCGAGAGGGAGGACTGTCTTCCCTGATTGGGAAGCGCTTTGGTGCTCCTCGCACCCTCACAGCCACCTGGCAGCCCAGTCTCCGAGCTGCTGCCGCTCAGGTCACAGCTCGGGGGAGCGCCTCTGGCCTGGCCCACAGGTGGGGTCTCTGCTTCCCTCTTCACACACCCACGTACAGAGGGAGTGGAGCGACAGGGAAAATGGACTTTTCTTTCTAGAAGCCGTTTTCTCTGCCTCCTCGTACTCCACCTCCAAACTCTCACGCTAACCCCACCACCCTCCTAGCTGGCTGTAGCCACTCGGTGCCTTCAGTACCGCCACTGTGCTTGGCACACAGGTCATCAGTCCTTCAGAGGAAACAGGCACAGAGCAGACAAGCCACGCCCTGTCACAGACTACCCCACAGCAGGGCCTGAATGGGAAGCGGGCATTCTGCCTCAGCGTGGTTACATGAAGCTGGCCTGTGCTCATTCCCTTCCTCCCCGATGCTTTAGGTTATGAGCTCTCCAAAGTGGAAGGGAAAACGGGGACCCCTGAGAAGCCCCTCTCGGACCTTGGCCTCCTGTCCTACCGAAGCTACTGGTCCCAGACCATCCTGGAGATCCTGATGGGACTGAAGTCTGAGAGCGGGGAGAGGCCACAGATTACCATCAAGTGAGCCTGGCCCACCTCCCGGGGTGCATGGCATGGCCTGGGTGCTCCCGGGCTTTCTCCCCCCGAGCTCCTGGGGCAGAGGGCCCGGGACCTGACCTCTGTCCTCCCGCAGTGAGATCAGCGAGATCACCAGCATCAAGAAGGAGGACGTCATCTCCACCCTCCAGTACCTCAACCTCATCAACTACTACAAGGTAGGGGGTGGCAGGGACAGGCGCGCAGCGGTGCAGAGGGCGCGCCCCACGCGCTGACCGGCTTGTCCCCTCCCCCACCAGGGCCAGTACATCCTCACGCTGTCGGAGGACATCGTGGATGGGCACGAGCGGGCCATGCTCAAGCGACTCCTCCGCATCGACTCCAAGTGTCTGCACTTCACTCCCAAGGACTGGAGCAAGCGGGGGAAGTGGTGACCAGGCACAGCCGTGGGAGCACCCACAGCGCTGGCAGAACTGGAGCTGACAGCCCCTCCCACCCACCAGGGCCCCCATGGGGGACACCAAGGGAGACAGAACAGGCTGAGGACAGTTCCACAAGGAGAGGGCCGGCCTGGTAGGGGCTGGTTGGTGCCCAGCACCAAAGTGAGCTCAGGGCTCAGGTCACCTCTCCGGCCAGCTGGTTGCTGGCTGCTGGCTGCAGGCCCAGGCTTGCTGTGAACCAGGGACCAGAGGGAGCCAGGCAGACATGTACAGTGAGAGGGGAGTGGGGCACTCTGTACAGAGGGTTGGTGGCTGTAAAAAATTTGTAAAGTAGGAGTTGGGTGGGATGGGTATTGGTTACAAAATTCTGGCCTCTTGCCCCAGTACCCGTCCTGCCCCTGTATCATCTCTCTCTCTCACACTCACTCACACACACACACACACTCCGTGCCTCCTTCCCCCTGTAATAAACTGTTTCTATGGGCCAGAGCCATGAAATGTTCTTGTGGGAGAAAGCAGCTCAGAGGTGTGGGCAAACACGGATGCTGTGAGTTCATTTATTGGGGTGGTGGACTCAGTGGATCCGAAGTGAAGAGCTGGTTTATTGGGTGACGGGATCGGTGGCTTCCAGTTTCCCCCTCTGGTTCTCAGTCCTGCGGCACCTGGGCGTGGATCTGCAACAGGAGCCCCTTTCACTACCCGGCTTCTGAGGTGGAGGGCTGGGTGGTGCACGTACTCTGGAGGGACCCAGCTCAGAATGACGGTCCCTTCCACGCAGGACAGAGAGGGGTGGGGGGGTGGGGGGGCCACACAGCCCTGACCCAGTCTAACCTTCCACTTGGAGCCAGGCTCCAGCAGCCCTGAAGCCCAAGGCCACTTGGGGCAGGATCCTAGGCAGCCCGGGGAATAAACGGAAGCCTGGGATGGGAATGGATGGGCCTGGGAAGAAGCGGGCCGTATGTCTACTCACCGCCTCCGCGAGGCCGGGCCAGGCCAGGGCCGCACGCACTTTGGCATCCGGGCCGGGGGTGGTCTCCAGGCCCCACAGGGTGAAGCGGCTGAAACTGGCGGAGGCGCCAATGAAGCGGTCCTGGGGGAGGCGCCGGGCTCAGCATGGGCCGCCGCTCCCGCCCGCACCCCCGCGGCCCCGCGGCCCCTGTGCTCACGAAGTCCCGCTCCAGCGCCTCCGGGGGCTCCACCAGCCCCTGCTCGTCACGGTCTGATCCCGCGGAGAAGTCCTGCTTCCCCACCGGCTTCTCCTCCATCGTCATCACGTAGCCCAGCAGGCCGCGCGGCACCTCCACCTCCTCGCCCCGTAGACTGCGGCCCCGAAACGACACCTGGAGCCCTGAAGGAGGTGGTCGCAGGCCTCAGTGAGGGCCTGGTCCATGCCCAGCGGGGCAACCCCGGTGGCGGCTCTCCCGCCGCCGCCGGTGGACCACGGTTCCCAGGAGCCCTCGCGCCCGTCCTCGCCCAGGAGAGCGCGGCGCCGGCGCGGGGACCATCGGGAGCCGTAGTCCAGCCGCGAGCGCTCACCGTCGGGACCCTGGCGGATGGCCGGGGTGAAAAAGCGCTCCACGGGGGCCGGCCGGCTAACCCCGACTTCACAGGGCAGAAGGTGCAGCGCGGCAGGCGCGGCGTCGCGCAGAGTGATGGGGCGCAGGTGGATGCGGAGCTTCTCCACGTCTTCCTCGTCGCCGCTGTCCATCCTCTGCCGGGTTTCCGTGGCCAGAGCTGGCGCGTAAAGTGCGCGAAGCCTGTCGGGAACCCTTGGACAGTCAGCGCAGAGCCTCCTGGGAAGCGTAGTCTTTTCTGACTCTTGCAAGCCCCATCTCCCTCTGTTTAAGTCCCAGTTTTGTTTTTCTTCTTGAAAATTATTTTTTCTCTTTTTAAAACATTTATTGCCCATCTGGGTGTGATTCAGTGGTTGAGCTTTGATCTATGAACCAGGTCACAGTTCCATTCCCAGTCCCAGGACATTCTGGAGTTCCAGGCTCAATCCCCAGTGCAGGAGGTGCACACTATAATTCTCATCATTGAAATCAGTAAAATCGTTTTTTAAAAATTATTTACTTATAAAAAATAAAATAAAAAATAAAATTACTTATTTTAGAGAGGAAAAGAGAAAACAACAACTACTTGTAGCTCCACCCATTTATGCATCTATTGGTTGATTCTTGTATGTGCCCTGACTCTGAATCAAACAAAACCTTGGCAACCTTAGTGTATAAGGACTATGCTCTACCAACTAACATACCGGGTCAGGGCCTTGAAAATTTTTTCAATGGTATATTTTTTATTTTGATAAAAATTTGTTTTCTATTACAGTTAACATACGATATTAGTTTTAGGTGTAGAATGGTACATTCTTATTTTTTTTTCAATTGAAATTATTCCAAAAATACATTTTTTATACTGATAGGGAGGTTGTTTTAAATTTTACTAGGGATATCAGCTCTTCCTCAAATTAATTGAAGATATTTTATATTAATTTGTGGTTTGTCTTCCAAACCTGTATATTTTTATTTTTATTACACAGATGAATTTATTTTGTACAGTCAAATTTACCAAACTACCAATCTTTTATTTCTAGGTTTTTTAATTTTCACAATACTTTTTGAGTTTCTTAACTCTTCTCTAATATTTATTTGTATAGCTATGTTCTATCAAGTTCTCTCAAAAAACAAACACATCTGAGCTGGTGATCAAGATTAAAATTGCATTTAATTCATTGATTTGAGAGAGAAAAAAACATCCCCAGACATTGGGAGCTGCCCTTGGTGTTCTGTTGAACATGAATTCCATAGATTATCAGACAAGGTCATGAGGGACCAAAAGAAAAACAAGGTCGCTCTGTAATCACGTGAACATGGACAAAGGCAAACATTGTCCAAACCACAAAAATGACGAAGCATCCCTCTATTGTGGATTATATGTGATTTGCTTCTTTACCAATTATAGCTTTAGCCTCCATCGAGTGAAGATGTTAACATTACTATCTCAGAAATACTTACACTTCCTAACAGCATCCAATCCAGAGAAAAGCCCCACTTCCTTAAACCTTCCCCCAAGCACAGACCCTAAAAATCCTTCCTAACACCCACTTATTGAGATGCCCCACAGTGTAAGAGCAATAAACTCATTCATTCAGCGACAGACGTGTTCCTGGTGGTCTTTGGCTGGAGAGTATTGACAGATTAATTTAGAGAATCTTTTTTTTTTAATATATTTTATTGATTTTATACATAGAGGAAGAGAGAGAGATAGAGAGTTAGAAACATCGATGAGAGTCATTGATCAGCTGCCTCTTGCACACCCCTACTGGGGATATGCCCGCAACCAAGGTACATGCCCTTGACCGGAATCGAACCCGGGACCCCTCAGTCCCCAAGCCGACGCTCTATCCATTGAGCCAAACTGGTCTCGGCTAATTTAGAGAATCTTTTTTAGTTTTCTATCAAGAATAAGATACATAACGCTGGCTGGTGTGGCTCAGTTGGTTGAGCGTCATTCCATGTACCAAAAGGTTGCCAGTTCAATTCCTGGTCAGGACACATGCCTGGGTTATGGGCTTAATCCCCAGTAGGGGATGTGCAGGAGGAGGCAGCCAAATGATGTTTCTCTCCCTCCCTCTCTCTAAAATCCATTTTAAAAAGTTTAAAAATAAGATTCAAAGTACCAATTACAACTTTTATGTCTGTACAATTGAGGTTTTCTTAATACAAAATAGTTTTTATTTTTTCAAAGTGTTTTAATTGATTTTTACAAAGAGATGAAGGAAGAGTAATAGAGAGATGGAAATATCAATGAGAGAGAAACATTATCAATAGGCTGCTTCCTGCAAGCTCCCCACAGGAATTGATTGAGCCTGCAACTCCGGCACGTGCCCTGACCAGGAATTGAACCAGCGACCTCTTGGTTCCTTTGGCTGGGCAATAGTTATATTTTAAAGTGTATTCTCAGATTTTTTTTTTCATTTTACCTTCTGATTATTTACATACATAGCACAGGTTGACAGACCTCACATATGATCTGTCACAATTGCTCAACTTTGTCATAAAAACAGCCATAGACAATATGTAAATGAATGGGCATGGCTGTGTTCCAATAAAACTTTTTTTAAAATATTTTTTTTATTGATTTCAGAGAGGAAAGGAGAGGGAGAGATAGAAACATCAATGATAAGAATCATTGATTGGCTGTCTCCTGCACACACCCTAATGGAGACTGAGCCTGCAACCTGGGCATGTGCCCTTGATTGGAATCGAACCCAGGACACTTCAGTCCGCAGGCTGACGCTCTATCCACTGAGCCAAACCAGCTAGGGCCCAATAAAACTTTATTTGCAAAATCCAGCAGCGGGAAACCAAAGCATTTGTGTGACTCACTTTATCGCAATATTCACTTGATTGCGGTAGTCTGGAACCAAACCCCAATATATTCAAGGTTGCCTTATTTTGTGTCACTCAAAGAATTTGTCCATTTATCAGATTGGAGGCATAGAGTAGTTAATAATATTTCATTATCCTTTTGGTTTTTAAAAATATATATTTTATTGATTTTTTTACAGAGAGGAAGTGAGAAGGATAGAGTGTTAGAAACATTAATAAGAGAAAAACATCAGCTGCCTCCTGCACGCTCCCCACAGGGGATATGCCCGCAACCAAGGTACATGCCCCTAACCGGAATCAAACCCGGGACCTTTCAGACTGCAGACCAAACGCTCTATCCACTGAGCCAAACCGGTTAGGGCTATTTCGTTGTCCTTTTAAGGTCCATGGGATCACTAGTGATGACCCGTCTTTCATTTCTGGTATCAGTAGGCTTCTTGGAATGGGTCCAGAGTGGAATAACTGTCCTGTGAATATTCACCAAAGAGCACCTTCTGCAGGTAGAAGGCATCATTTCCTTTCCAAATCATGCCTATCCTTGCCCAACAAGCTCATGAAAAAGTCGTAATGGGAGGCGCTGGCCGGGTAGCTCAGTTAGAGCATTTTCCCAATACTCCAAGGTTGCGGTTCAATCTCCAGACAGGGCACATGCAAGAAGTAACCAAGGACTTTCCTAGCCAATGTAAACCCCACACACATATCATTTAAACATGACACACAGAATGAAGAACAAGATGCATCTTCTTAAACCTATAAATATTCTGCTACTAAAATGATATACAAATGAAAAACAAAAAAGTGACCAATAAATACATTAAGTGGAACAACATATCGATGTTTGTCTCTCTCTCCCTTCCTCTATCTCTCAAATCAATACATTAAAATTTTAAAAACTATTTTAGTATATTTTTATTGATTTCAGAGAGGAAGAGAGAAAGAGAGCTAGAAACATCAATGATGAGAGAGCACGGACCATGGCTGCTGCTGGAGGACCTTGGGTACCAGACAAGCTTGAAGACACTGTCTAGTCAGCACAAAGGAGGAAGTTTGAAAAAGCCCTTCTGCGATGGCTCCCCTGCGCCCTCTACCGACAAAGCTTAGTAATGCGCCAGCTGACGAACATAAAGGGTCCAGGCCCATTTTCAGAGTAGGCAATAAAGAATGAATTTGGAGCTGAGAGGCAACTACTCAGCCACCAGTCAGCTTATCTTACTTTCATATTTCCCTCTCCCTCCTCTCATGTTTTTAAAAAATATATATTTTATTGAATTTTTTTCAGAGAGGAAGGGAACGGGATAGAGCCAAAAGCATGGATGAGAGAGAAACATCGACCAGCTGCCTCCTGTATACTCCCCACTGGGGATGTGCTCACAACCAAGGTACATGCCCTTGATCAGAACCGAACCCGGGACCCTTCAGTCCGCAGGCTGACGCTCTATCCACTGAGCCAAACTGGTTAGGGCTCTCATGCTTTTTTTAAAACTATTTTTTAATTTACTTCAGAGAGGGTGAGGGAAAGAGAAACATTAATGATGAGAATCTTTGATTGGCTGCCTCCTGCACACTCTCTACTGTGAATTGAGCCTGCAACTCAGGCAGGTGCCCTGTCCGTGACCTCCTGGGTCAAGGGCCAATGCTCAACCACTGAGCCACGTCCACTGGGTCTCCCATGTTTTTAGTGATATTGTTACTATTTCACGATGATATATGACCTATTTATTTACCCTCACACCCACCTTTGTTTTAGTCCTAGATCATATATTTATTTCCTAGTTTATTTTTTTATTTAAGGTTGCTTTTTTTTATTAAATTATCATCTGTGTATATATTTTAACATTGCCCCCCCATACATACCCTCCCTCCCCAGAGTTTTGTGTCCATTGGTTGTACTTATATGCATGTATACAAGTCCTTCGGTTGCTAGATCATATGTTTAGATCAACACACACACACATGCTCATATCTCTTGGTTGGATGAAGTGCATTCTCTATCAGATTCCCGTATGGGAATAAATACTTGCTGAAAAACACAAAACTGTTTCCTAAAGCCTTGACACTTGGAAGGACAATCCGTGAGAATATAAAATCCTCGGTTTATCCTTAAATGTTTAGAAGATGCTGCTCCAAACGCCATGTTACTTTGTATGTGCCATTTTGCCTAAGTTATTTAATCTTCCTGCTTGGAGATCTTGGGTATTTTTGTTGAAAAAAAAGTTGAAAACGAATAGTTTTATGAGGATGCCTCAAAGCTGACTGTTCTAATTTTCCAAGGTTCCCAGCGGGACCCTTGAATGTGCGGATTCTTCTTCCTTGGAGTTTTTTAGAATGCAGCGGTAAATATCGCTGTGGTTCAGTGGTTAGCTTTTCTTCAGGGACCCTAAATGCAAATGCGACTCCTTTGACTATCTTCTGTTTTCATGACTTTCTTATGATCCCTTGAGACTCCTTCGTCTCACTTTCATTCTCTTGTTTTTGTCTTTCTTCAATGCCCCTTATTATATTTTGAGTCTATTCTCCTTTGGGCATCTTGTAATGGAATCTTTATTTCCAGATACTTTTTGTGTTTCTTTTTTAAAATATATTTTTATTGATTTCAGAGAGGGAGAGGAAGAGATAGAAACATCTCTCTGATGAGAATCATTGACCAGCTGCCTCCTGCACGCCCCCTACTGGGGACCGAGCAGCAACCCAGGCACACGCTCTCCTTAGTTTCCAGGCTGCCTGTCCAGGGACTACTTGGGGAGATGAGGAGACCCATTTTCTTTTTTTAAATATATTTTTATTGATTTTTTACAGAGAGGAAGGGAGAGGGATAGAAAGCTAGAAACATCGATGATAGAGAAACATCAACCAGCTGCCTCCTGCACACCCCCCACTGGGGATATGCCTGCAACCAAGGTACATGCCCTTGACGGGAATCGAACCTGGGACCTTTCAGTCCACAGACCGACGCTCTATCCATCGAGCTAAACCGGTTTCGGCAGGAGACCCATTTTCTGATATTCTGCAGTAACTCTGTCCGGACCTGTTAATCTTTATCTTGTTCGTTTCTGTGCTGTTGGGTGTTTTATAAGATCCCGTTTAACGCGCCCTCTTCTGTCAACACCGCCGAGTCCGTATTTGTTAGTGGCCGTGGGCGGAGCTGCAGGGCCTGATTTTGTTTTGTCTGCAGAACCAGGACATTTCTCAGTCTACTTCCCTTTTCACACCCAAAAGACTTCTTCCTTTTTGTTCCCCCAGAGATTACGTGTTTCAAAGGCTGCCCCTTCAAGTGGTACACACACTTACCCCTTCCCTGCAGTCCCAGGCCTAACCCCCAAGCATCAACATTTCCAGACGTACAGGGACTTAGTCTTTCCGGTGCTGTCTTGGACCAAAGAGGGCCCCTCGCCTTCTTTTCACGTTCCCCGCAGCGTGTCCAGACGCTGCGATGGGGCTTAGGTGTTCGGTCCCTCCTCGCCTAATTTCAGGTGTCAGAGTCTGGGAGTCTGAGGCCAGGAGGCCCTTGGTTTGGGATCCCAGCTCCCATGAAGGGGGGGTGGGGGCGTTTTTTCAGTTGAGCCTGAAAGAGTTTTGGTTTGGGTGTCTTGCCTGTCCTAAACCCGGTCCGTGGGCCTTTAAAAAGTTGGATCTGTGATCCCCGGTTTCTGGGACTTTGTTCTATGGCTCCACTGAGGCTGGCAGACCTGTTTACAACCGACAGGGCCTCCTCCCGGAAGAGTTGCTAGGGAGATGTGCGATATTGTGTTGGAAGTTCTTTGATATTTAAACATTTTGCCACAGCATGTTTTCCATAGGAATCTGGAAAACACACTTGCTTTTTTGACTTCAGATGCAGAAGATGTCACTAATCCTTTGCCCAAGATTAAGGTAATTGGCCTATGCAAGGACTCACCAGCCATCCTTCCATCCATCAGAACCCATTCATGCCTCCACAGGTCAAGGGCTGTGGGCTGTGGTCTGGGCACCGAACCTCCTGTAGCACCAGGGGTTGGGGCCACAGCTGATTACAGTAGCTGTACAGCCCCCAAATGCCCAGGGTGTGACTTAAGGTATACAGCTGCGACTCAGGTCCCAGCCATGGCAGCAACACAGAAAGATGGACAGTGAAGACACCAGACTCGTCCAGGTGCCAACAGCACTCACACCCGTGCAGGTCCCGCTCAATGAGCTCCCCACCATCTAGTGCTGGGTTGACTACACTCTACCTGTCCTCCTCCTCTGCCCCCAGTCCCTCCTCTTGCAAGAGATGACAGGGAGAGGCAAAACCCGAGTGTGGAGAGAGGAAGCCTGCAGCCCGCTGGGTACCATGGCCCCAAGTCACAGCTGTCCTCTGTCTTCAGAGTAATTCGGCCCTGGTCAGGTGGCTCAGTTGGTTGGAGTATCATCCCATACACCAAAAGGTTTCGGGCTCGATCCCTAGTCAGAGCGTTAAAGAGGCAGCTGATTGATATTTCTCTCTCCTCCCCCCCTGGGAGGGATATTTAAAAATATATTTTTAAAATAAAAAATATATATATCCATCCTTGGGGGATACTGATGGGTAAGGAAAACCCAGCTTCCTTTTGGCCCAGACCATGGGCCCCCTCGGCCCGGAAATGGTGCTAGCAGGCCTTCCTGGAGCTGGCTCCAGCCCTCAGCCTGGGAGCCCTCTCCAGGGAAGCGGCCACTGCAGTCTCAACTGTTTCGAGCCCAAGCTCCGGGTCAGGGACCCTGAAACCTCAGGAGTTGCAGAGCGTGGGGCACAGGTCAGGGACCCGCTCCTCAACTGCTGGGTGGCTTTGGGCAAGGCCGTGCCCTCCGGGAAGCAGAGTGGCGGCTTTTTTCCTGCCCCCTCCCTCTGCCCCTGCCGGGGGCAGATCCTGGGGAGTCCCAGCCTACTGGGGCAGGAAGGGCCTCTGGAGCCCGCAGTCTGGGGGTCTGACTCTAAGCCTTTCTGGGGGCCTCTGCCCCCATCCCAGGGTTCCGTTCCCGAGGAGGGTCCAGAGGAAACCAACGAGGGTCATTGGTGAGCGGGTTCTTAAAAAGGGCCCATAGGGCCGAGTCCTGCTCTGCGCTGCCCCTCTGAGACAAGACCCTGTAAGGGCCACAGTCCCGGTCCCCCCGGCCCAGCCCAGCCCAGCCGGGCTCAGCCCGCAGCCGACAGCCCTCGGAGGTAGCCCCCCACCAGGGGCAGCACAGCCCAGTCATCCGTCCGCAGGACCACGGGCACGCCGTCCGCCTGGGCCGCCTCCAGCCGCAGCAGCAGTGCTGAGTCCGGGGGCAGGCGGATGGCTATGTGGTAGCTGGTGGGGGGCTGGGCCACCACTACAAAGGGCTCCAGGTGGCGTGACACCAAGGCCTCCAGACTGTGTGGCCCAAGAGGGCACCACAGGCGACTCTCAGTGCCCTTGGGCAGGCAGGAGTCCCACAGCTCCTCGAAGAAGCCTGAGCTGGCACCCCCAGGGGGCTTCGGGAAAGGCAGGAAGAGGTCGGCGAACTTCACAGGCAGCGGGGGCAGGTGGGTGTGGCAGGTGAGGCCCGTGGACCTGGTGTAAAGAGCACGGACATCCAGCTGTGCGGGGGCTGGGCGCCGCGGCCGCAGGGGCAGGAGCAGCGGGCGGGCCGGGCGGCCAGGGCACAGGCAGGGCACGTGGACAGCCCCCAGGGGCGCGTAGACGTGTCCTTCCACTCGGAAGCGCAGCTCCAGAGAGTACACTGGCTCCAGCACCTCTACCTGGAGCTGCAGCACGGGCACCGGGCCCTCAGCCCTCTGGGTTCCCACGCTCAGCCGAATCGGGGCTGGGGCCTCCTGCACCATCAGTGCCGTGGCAAAGCCCTGGTTCTCGGCCACCAGGGAAGAGGTCAGTGCAGGTGCAGCAAGGGAGGGGCCCAGGGCCACCCCCAGCTTGGGCCCCGACAGGTGGCTCAGGAGGATGTAGTAGAGGCGGGCGTGGTCCCGCCCATCCGGGTCCTCCAACTGCCTGGCCAACGCCTGCAGCAAGTCTGCCAGGCCTCCCCTGACACCCGCCCGCAGCAGGGCCCGGCAGACTCGCAGCAAGGCCTGCTGGAGGCCCCAGTCGGAGCAATGGACAGCTGCCGCCCGCAGGAAAGCGAGGGTGGCACTCTGAGCATCCCTGTCTGCCACCCTTGCCAGCATCTGCAGGTGCCAACGAAGGGCCTCACCCCCACCTGGCCTGGATACCACCTCTTGCCTCAGCACCACCCTCAGGGGCTCCCCCAGCTCAGGGGCCACTCGATCCAGGAGGTCAACAAAATGGGGAGCCAGCACAGGCCGGGCTCGGTAGAGCTGGGCCAGTCCGTGGGTCAGGGGTGTCAGCACTGCATGGTGCCCGGCCAGGCAGCGGGCGACGAGGTATGAAGCCTGGAAGCAGAGGGTAGCCAAGGCCCGGGGGCCTCCCGGAAGGGCCGCCCGCTGCTGCAGGCCAGCCAGGAGCTCCTGCAGGTAGCGGCAGGGGCTCTGAGCCTGTCCTCTCTCCTCCTGCTCGTCCTCGGCACAGAGAAGGCACAGCAGGTGCAGGCGGGCCAGGAGGGCCATCGGGTCGAGAAGGAGGTTGGGCAGGAGGCCACGGCAGAGCTGCGGCTCTAGCAGCAGGGGGGCAGCCTCCTCGCCCGCGGGGCCCAGCGGGCAGTTCTCCGGGAAGCTCAGGAGGCAGTGCAGGTAGAAGAGGTGGGCGGGCAGGGGCAGGGCTGGGTGCTGCGCGGCCAAGGTGAGCCGGCGGAGCAGCAAGGCCTCGTCCTGAGCTGTGAACAGTGCCTCGCCGAACGCCGCCTTCAGCGCCAGCACCGCGTGCAGCAGGGTCAGTGGAGCTGTGCCCAGCAGCCGGACCAGCTGCGGCTTGAAGAGCACGGGAGGCTGTCCCCGCAGACCCCGCAGGGCCCAGCCCAGCAGCCACAGAAGCTGGGCCTGGGCCACAGGTGTGAGCAGGTACGAGGTGTCCAGAAGCTGGGCCACCGCAGCCCGCAGCTCCCGGGCCTCGTCGGGGCTGGGCTCTAGCGCGGAAAGGCCGCCCTCCTCCTCGGCGGCCGGCCAGCTGGGCGCTTGGGGCTGAAGGTGGGCTTCGCCCGCTTGAGCCAGTGTCCAGTTCCAGGGGCCACCCCCAGGGGGAGAGGCCCTGACTGTGAGCAGGCCCTGCAGGCTGGCCCTGGCCCTCGCCTGTATCACCAAGGTGTTCCGCAGGGCAAGCGCCAGCAGCAGGCTGAGTGGCTGCACAGGGGCCACGGGGCCCTCTTGTCCCAACAGGCCACGGAGAAGCCCCAGGCAGCCCCCCAGCAGCCCAGGCTGGCAGCTCTCCAGCTCCCGCAGGCACTCGCACGCAGTGGCCTGCAGGGGTCGCTGCTCAGAGGCGGGGCCAAAGCCTCGCCCCAAATCGCCACCTGAAGCCAAGCCCAGCAGCAGGGGCAGAAGCCGCAGGGAGGCCCCGGAGGCGGGGCCGAGCGCACCTCCGGTCACCAGGACTGTGGTTGCTGCCAGCAACAGGGGCCTCCGCAGAGCTGACGGCCGTGGGGGTAGAAGGACCAGGGTATCCAACAGGGAGGTGGCAGCTGCCTCGGCTGCAGGGGCATCCGGCCACAACTGGGCTGGGTACTCCAAGCTCAGGGCCAGCATGGAAACCTGGGGTGGGAGATTTGGAGGACGGAGTTCAGAGCGCAGTGGGTTGGGGAGGCCATACGGGCCAGGGCAGGGGCGGGCGGTCAGGGCCTACCTTGGTCGGTTCGCTCAGCTTCTCACTCCTCAGGTCGCTCAGCAGGTCACGCCCCAGATCCTCACCCTCAGGAGCTGCCATAAAGGCGGCCGGACTGGCCCGGAAGGCGCCCAGGCGCTGGGCCCAGGCCTCCCGGCTCAGGGGCCCCATGGCCAGGCACGTGGGTCTCTGCAGGGAAGGGGGGGGGGGTCAGGCCGGCGCCGCCACCCGGAAGGAGGGGGGCATCGTCACCCCGGAGCCCTTGCAGCCCTCAGCCACCCTGACTACACGCCGACGCCAGGGGGACCCCGAGCCGGCTTCAGGGCGCCGCTGGGCGGGCCGCCGGGATCTCCGGGGAGAGCGGGGGCGGGGGCGGGGCGCCCGGAGCTCATCAGCCCGCCCTCCGCCCGCGGCCGGCACCGAAACCACCGCGCCGCCCGGCCCGGCGCCCGTAACGGCGGCCGCTCGCCTCCTGACTCACCGCCGCCGGCGCTGGGGCCGCTCCTTCCGGGCGCGCGGCGGGCGGGGCGCGCGGCGCGGGGCGGGGCGGGCGCGTGGGCGGCCGGGCGGGCGGGGCGGGGCCGTAACGGGGCCGCCGCCTTCCCCGCCCACCGGCCGGCAGGTGCCGACTCGCCGGTTTCGCCGGCTGAGTAACTGTCCCGCTGCGCGCAGCCCCCTCCCCGAAACCGCCGCCGGCCGCAGGGCGGGCGCTGCCGGACGCGGTGCCCTGGCGCGAGCTGCGGCCCCCGGGCCCGGGGACAGCGCCCCGGGGCGGCGATGGCAGCTGCGCCCCCCGCCGGCGCCCGGGCGCACCGCACCCCGGGGAGGGGGCGGCGTAGGGCCGCTGCGGGCGCGGGGTGCGGTCCGGGCTCCCGCAGGAAGCGGCCGCGGCCCGGCTGAGCCGGTCGGGCAGGCGCCCCGGGGCTTGGCTTCGCTTCCCCGACGCCGCCCGGGGAGCCCCCGCCCGCTCGGCGTGGGGGCGCGGAGCCGGCGCGGGTCACGGCGGAGGAAGCTGCTGGCTGGTGCCTGCGGCGGCGCCGGCGGCCGGCGTAAAGCCGGGGACAGACCATAAGCCGGGATGAAGCCGAAAACAACGGGGTGCGGAGTGCGGGCTGGCAGAGCCTGGCCTGTCACGGGGTCGTGGCACCGCATGCCTGGCACCGACCCGGAAACCTAGGCTTTGCGGGAAGACCTGGGGCCAAGAGTGCGGGATCCACAGAGGCTGGGCCAAGGCTTTTGGGGCCACCCAGGGAGCTGGGCAGGGGGTCCCTAGGAGCTGGTCCTGGGCCGGGAGCAAGGCTGCTGATGCCCCGATGCTGCAGGTTCCCAAGGCCCAGAACTGCAGGCGGCGGACCCCACGCCCGCCCGCTGGCCTGCCGCCTGCGGCTCTCATCAGCCGCTTTGAAGATGAAACAGGCCTGAGCCCCGCACTAGCAGCTGCTGACTAGTTTCTCTCTCCTCCAGGCTTCACAGGTCCCTCCCTCCCCCAACCTGCTCCCTCCAGAGGGGAGGAGGCAGGAGTGATGGGGTAGCTGGAAGAGAGGGTTTGGGGTACCGAGGCGGGGGGTGAGGGGGGGATGGAGACAAGGATCCTCCCCAGGACAGGTCCGACTGGAAAGCCTGTCCCGGCTCCAAGGCCCTGGCTCCACAGTTGACTCACAGGCGGCAGCCCCAAACCACTTCCCTGGAGGTGCCTCCGTTTCTCCATCTATAAAATGGGAGTGATGCCCCCCTGAAAGAGGGTGGGGTGGGCGGCCTGGCTCATTAGCCGAAGATGAAAGAGCCAGGATGAGAGCGGCCTGGGAGCGGCCTGTCTGGTTTCCCGGAGGCCCAGAGGGTGCTGATAACTGACACCCCAGCCCTCAGCACTCACAGGAGGGAGCACTGGTTATTAAACCCTTTTACAGCGGAGGGGACAGGCTTCAAAGGGTCCGAATCTGACGCTGCTCTGGCCCCCACTCGGCCGCCGACAGCCGCCAGCCTCTCTGAGCCTTGGCTCCCTATGGCCCGGCCCGCTGCTGTGGTGGCCCATCCACGTGGACTCAGGCCCACAGCACCCTGCGGGGCCCTCGGATGGGTACGGCGCCAGGTGGGGAAGGAGGCCCAGAGTCCCAGAGCTCCGGAGAAGTGGAGCCCAGACTTAAGGCTGCCCCTCGCTGCCCTGACGTGGCCTCCTCCCATACCAGCTGCCCTCAGCCCTCCTGGCTGTCCAGATCCTCAGCTGGGCCCTGCCCTCAGCTGCTTGCCCTGCTCCCCGGTGGGCGGGTGGTGCTGGCCGGTCCCTGGCACAGGACAGGCATAGAGCTGAACTCAGCTCACCAGCAGTGAGGGCATGAATGTTCCTCAGTTTGCAGCCACAGACCTGCCTCTGACGGTGACCTCCCAGGGACGCTCGGTGTGGGCTGCAGCCAGGTAGCCAAAGAGGGAACTCCCCCCTTGACGCCCACACCTCCCTGCTCTTCCTTCCTCTGCAGTGCAGCCTGGCTCTGGGGAGGTGATAAACACAGGCTTGGACCAGAGAAAACCAATTTCCTGAGGGGTCCTGAGCCGCCTTCTCACCTATAAAGTGAGGGATGCCGTCAACCTTTCCTCACAGCACTGGACACTAGGGGTACAGGGGTGTTTCATTTTATTATTATTTCTATATGTTTTTATTGATTTCAGAGAGATGGAGAGAGCTATAGAAACATCGATGAGAGCCAAAACTGGTTTGGCTCAGTGGATAGAGCGTCAGCCTGAGGACTCAAAGGTCCTGGGTTCGATTCCAGTCAAGGGCATGTGCCTTGGTTGTGAGCATATCCCAGTAGGGGGCGTGCAAGAGGCAGCTGATTGATGACTCTCATCGATGTTTCTAACTATCTCCCTTTCTCTCTGTAAAAAATCAATAAAATAATCATAATAAAAAAAGAAGCATCGATGAGAAACAACAAAAACAAAAGAAACACCGATGAGAGAGAAACATCACTTGGCTGCCTCCCACATGACCACTCTCCCTCACCCCCTGGGGACTGAGCCCCAAATCTAGGCATGTGTCTGACCGGGAATTGAACTGTGACCCCCTGTTGCATGGGACGACACTCAACCAACTGAGCCACACTGGCTTAATTAAATGTACGGGGGTGACAGGAGATGTTTGAAAAGAACATGCCTGAGAGAAAGCAGAGAAGTGGGTGCCAGAGGTTGAGAGGAGTGGGGAGTGACTACTAATGGGTACTTGGTTTCATTTGGGGTGATGGTTGCACATGGTGAAGACATTAAAAACCATTGAACTGTATACTTTAAAAGGGTAGATTTTCTGATATACGGATTATCTATATATAAAGAGGTAATATGCAAATTAGACTGGAACACTGTAATCGTAACAGGTCACGACGGGACAGAAGGAGGTTGCGCGCACAGAGACTGCTCTGGCTTGGGTAGCCCTGGAGTGGACACAGGCAGGGGAGCGGGGCTGGCCTGGGGACCGGGAGTTCAATCGCTCGCTATGACATGCACTGATCACCAGGGGTTGGCGTGGAGCGTGGCAGGTCACTAGCAGCTGCAGCGGTTCTAGCTGGGGGATCAGTTCTCAGGAAAGGGAACGTTTGGCTGAGGCCTGAGTGATGAGAGGCAGTCAGCCATCAAGTAGCAAAAGGCGTTCCAGGTTGCTGAAACCGGTTTGGCTCAGTAGATAGAGTGTCAGCCTGCAGACTGAAGAGTCCCAGGTTCGATTCCAATCTCGGGCATGTACGTTGGTTGCGGGCACATCCCCAGTGGGGGGTGTGCAGGGGGCAGCTGATTGGTGTATCTCTCTCATCAATGTTTCTAGCTCTCTGTCCCTCTCTCTTCCTCTCTGTAAAAAAAAAATCAATAAAATACGTTTTTTAAAAAAGAAATAAAGTCTGGCAGGTCAGACACGTGGCCACAGGGGTGAGCCTCTTCCAACAGGAACCCATGGCTTTCCTCGGCGTTCCTGAGGCTCCAGCTGGTCCAGGGAGCCTGCTCCTCTGCCCATGGCCCCCAGCGCCATCTCAGGAGCTTCCTACCCACGTGCAGCCCCCTCCCTGCCAGCCCCAAGCGGCCCTGGCCCCCCCTGGCAGTTGGTTGAGAGGCCCATGGCAGAAACTCAGCAAGAGATGAAGGAATCAGTCCCCACAGCACTCCACTCTGTTCGGGGCTTTGCAGCCTCCACAGAGCTGCCAGACAGGCTGGACAGAGGCCTCGGGGCCAGGGCACATTGGCCACTGGGAGGCTGAGTTCATTTTCCAGGGCTGCTGGCCTTCCGGCAAAAAGAAATTGATAGCATCATTTGAGAGCTCTTAGGAGCAGAGCAGGAACTAGGAGCCCCACTTCACAGATGTGTAAACGGAGGCCCCAAGATGAAGAGTCTGGGGGACCCGACTGGCCAAGTGCTCTCTACTGCTTGTCCTCTCAGCACATCTCAGCTTCCGGAAGCCCCCTGGCCTGACAGGCTGCACCTGCACACCGTCCCGGCTCCAGTGGGAGCCTTCCCTGAGAACAGGACGGCTGGTTGCAAACCTTCTCCCTCCACCCGCTCCTGTCCTCGCTTTCCTGGGCTTCTCTGGATGGCAGCCACGCACTCCGAGGGGCATGGTCCTCACTAGCCTGCTGGGTTCCGCCTCCTTCACACCCCGGTCCACTATGCCTACGAGAGGCGTTCACCCACAACATCCAGAGTCCACGCTCATGGCTGCTGCACTGACCCAGCCCCCTGTCACCTCCTGCTCCAACTGTAACAGCAGCCTCCCTTCTCGGTCTCCCTACTGCCACCCTCACACACACCCCTCCTCCGAACACACTCCATCCCCCGTTCCCTCACCCGGAGCCCCACCACACTGGCCCTCACACGATGTGGTCCACCTGCCTCTGCTACCCCGGTTCCCACACCTCCCGTCCCCTCCCCTCCCGATCCGGCCGCCTCTCCCTTCGGTTCACCGCACACACGAGGCTCACTCCCACTCTGGAGGCTTCGCACCAGCTGCTCCTCCTGCAGGTCTGCTCTCCCCAGCTCCTCACAGCTGGCTCCTACCTCTCCTTCAGACCTCGCACCCCGCCTGTCACCATCATCACTAAAGTCCTGTGTCACAGCAATAGTTTCCCCAGCTTTTTGTTTACCTTTACAGGTGATGTGCCTACTGTGCAGTTGATGTTCAATAAGTACTTGTTGATAAGTTAAGGAATGCATGAATGATATCTAACTGGATGCATGGACAGTGTCTTCACGGAGCTCACAGTTTAGCTTCTGTGTTTACCCAAGTTCGGACACACTGGTTCCAGAGCTGCCCAGGAACCACAGGCCACACACATTAGCCTGAGACAAATCTGACCCACGTAGGCATTTTATTGAACTCATTCTATGTTTTAAAAAATTTTGCGTCCACATACTAACCTGGAGTTTCTGTTTCTCTCTTATTTTATTTTTTGTTTTGTTTTTTATTTATTTATTTATTTATTATTTTTTTGGCGTTTCTATTTCTCTTGGAAAAGGACAGGTGTGGCCACATTGAGTTTCTCTGTCATTGTCACTGCCCCTGTAGGTAGCACATTCTCCACTGTCCCCAGCACTCTCCAGCCTCTCCCTGACAGCCAGCGCCAGTCGCCTCTTATCACCGAATTTGCACTATTGTTCCCTTTGTAATAAAAAATCTTGCTCTGGCCTGGCCAGTGTGATTCAGTGGTTGAGCATCACCTATGAACCAGGAGGTCACCTTTTGATTCCCGGTCAGGCATATACCTGGGCTCCATCCCCAGTAGGGTGCATGCAGGAGGCAGCAGATTTATGATTCTCTCTCATCATTGAAGTTTCTCTCTCTCCCCTTCCACTCTCTCTAAAAATCAATGGAAAAATATCCTCAGATGAGGATTAACAGCAACAACAAAACACAAACAAAGAACTTTGCCCTTTACCTATGTGTATACCAAAAGCTGGAACAGGAAAGGCTGAATGGGTCACATGAATCAAGAAAAACAGGATATTCATTCATTCAATCAATATTGCTAGGCCACCACGCCAGGCACACAGGTATAAAGAGAGCCACGGACAGCAGGGACCTCTTTCCCTGTGGCCTCATTCCAAACACTAACTTTCTTTCCACAAGCAGAGACATGGAGTTGCTTCCCAGCCCATGAAAAAGACCGCCTCGCCGAAACTGCTTTGGCTCAGCGGTAGAGCGTCGGTCTGTGGACTGAAAGGTCCCAGGTTCGATTCCGGTCAAGGGCATGTACCTTGGTTGTGGGCACATCCCCGTTGGGGGGTGTGCAAGAGGCAGCTGGTCTATGTTTCTCTCTCATCGACGTTTCTAGCTCTCTATATCTCTCCCTTCCTCTCTGTAAAATATCAATAAAATATATTTTTTTAAAAAGAAGAAAAAAAAAGACGGCCTCTTGTACCCAGGGCCGCCCCTGAAGACGGCCACAGGTGCTCACCGAGCACGGCCTGTGTACCGGCCCCCTCAGGCCTGGCACGGCCAAAGTGCTCAATCCATACATACTGAGTGAATGACTAAGTGCACCTCTCCTGGGCAGACTGTTAGTCAATACTGTTTCTCCGGGGTTTATCCCAAAAGATAAGCACATAGTAGGTGCTCACTTGGGGTCAGTTAAAAGAAACAGTCTGGGATAAAAGTGGCAGGTTGACAGGCAGACATGGGCTGCCTGAAGGCAGATCCTGGGAAAGGGAAGGGTGGGGTGAATAGTACCCTCACTGCCAAGTCCACACCCCCTCCCAGGGACCCTGGGAGGTAGGTGATAGGATTCTCAGGTGACAGACGAAGAAGCAGGAAGGAAGGAAAGCCCCTTAGCTACACTTATAGGTTCCGGGAAGGAGTGGAAGAGGAGGTTCACTTGACCCCCAGGCCCACCCTTTCCCCACCCAGCTGGATGCTCCACAGCTGCCCGTGGGGGAGGGAAAAGGCCTCCGGAAGCCACCCCTTGAAAAACTGTCCTCTCCAGCTGGATGCCCGAAAGGACTCCTCTTTTCACTTGTGACTTTTGAACTTTGTTCAATGTGACTTGTGAATTCATTTTTCAGACTCATTTCCTCGTAATCTGTTCCGGGAAACGTTTAATTTGTGAAGAAGGTGTGTGTGGTTGAGATGTTTATTATGGGGCAGGGAGAGAGTGAAAAAGGAGGGTCCTGTCCCATCCTGCCCTGACTACGTAAGAGAAGCTCAGCTGAGGCCAAAGTGGCCAGTGGCCAGCCTCATGGAGGCCCCCAACACTCAGTGAGCACCTACTATGCACTTATCTTTTTGGATAAATCCTGGAGAAATGACATTGACTAATGATGAATGGCTGGGAAAGGTCCCAGGCACAAGGGTGGGCTCTAGGGGGAAGCCGACACAAGCTTTCTGTCCGGGCTGCAGCCAGGCTGGGACTGACTTCCTATGGAGTCCGCGGCTCTCCGTCCACTTGGGACAAAGATGAGGGTGTCTGCGGTGTGTAAGCCCCAATGATTAAGGCCCTGGCGTCTTTCAGGACCCCGGTGAACTCGGCGGTTTAAGCGCCCCCTTCCTCCACGAAGCCCTCCGCACGCCCCTGCCAGGGCCCAGCGCTCCCCGCTTCCCATCGCGGCCCCGCGTGTGGCCGCCGTCTGCCCGCTCCGGGCCCCGCGTGCCCTCCCGCACGCAGCCCGCGCCCAGCAGACATCAACGGATCGCTCAGCCCGCCGCCGGGATCCGGGCTCCCCGGGCCCGAGCGGGTTCAACGAGTGTGGGCCGGCCGCCCGCTCCCGCCCGACGGTTTCGCGCCTCCCCAGGCCCGGGGCGCGCCGGGCCGGACCCAGTTGGGCGAGTTTCATTTCATCACCCCAGAGCGTGCGAGCGCCGGTGCAAATAACGTTGCCTCCTCCCTCCCCTGCCCTCCCCTCCCTGCTGCCTCCGAAACTCCCCACTCCGCTGCGAACGCGGCGCCCGGTCCGGGAGGTCTGGGCGGCGGCGGCGGCGGCGGCTGGGCTGGTTGGGCGGCCGGGAGCTGGGTGCCCGGCGCCCGCCCCCGCCCCCGCCGCCACCCCGCCCCGGCCGCCAGGCCACCTCACCCGCAGCGGAATGAGAACCGGTCCGACAGGTACCGCATAGGTGGGTTGTCACCGTTATTTCCCAACGCATGCGCCGTGCGCCGGGCCACTGCACGCTCATTAGCCCGGACCGCCGCTCCCGCCCCGCCACCGCACGCCGCCGCGCGCCCATAAAGCGCGCCCCGGCCGCCGCCCGCACTGAGGACTCGCCGAGCGGCCGCGTGGACGCCAGCCGAGCGGGAGAGCTTACCTGCCGCCGCCGCCGCCCCTGGCTGTTCGTCCTTCCGAGGAGGCGTCCAGGCCACGGGCTCTGAGGAACGCCGGGCGCTTCGGCGACTTCTTCCCGAACGCCTCCTGCCCCGCCGCCTCAGCCCCGCCGCCTCCTGCCCCGCCGCCTCAGCCCGCCGCCTCCTGCCCCGCCGCCTCAGCCCGCCGCCTCAGCCCCCGGGAAGGTGGACGGCGCCAGCTTAAGTTACGGAAGCGGCCGGTGCCGGCGAGCAGGATTCGAAAATGCCCCGCGCGTTTCTGGTGAAGAAGCCGTGCGTGTCCACGTGCAAGCGGAACTGGAGCGAGCTCCCCGACGAGGAGCGCGGCGAGATCTACGTGCCCGGTGAGCGCCCGGCCCGCCATCTCCTCCCTGCCCGGCCCGCCGCCTCCCCCGGCCCGGCCCGCCGTCTCCCCCCGGCCCGGCCCGCCGCCTCCCCCCGGCCCGGCCCGCCGTCTCCCCGGCCCCGTCGAGGCGGTGGACGCGCGGGCGCCCGACTTAATGTTCCAGCGGCCGCGGCCCCGTTAGCCGGCGCCGGGGGGAGGGGAGGGGCGCGGAGGGGGCAGGGGCAGCGGAAGGAGATGCGGGGGGGGGGCGGGGGCGGCCGCGCCGCGGGGGCAGAGCGGGGGGGGGCGGGCGGGCTGGGGCGCCCTCTCCGAGCGGCGTCCCCCCCTCACCGGCCGAGCCGCGCAGGGGGCGGCCGGGTGTGTCCCCGCTCCGGGACCCTCGGCTCCCGCGTCGTAAATCCGGAAAGCCGGGCTTTATGAGGCGGGAAGGGGGCACTGGAGCGCTGCCTCTCCGGGGGGGCAGGGAGCGGGCTGGACTTCCGCTGAGATTTGTGCAAAACGTGAGAGAGACCCCGAGTGTGAGCCGCCTCCGTTGGTCCCGCTCCCCCTGCACGGCGGCCGGAGGTCGGGGTGAGGCCGGGCGGGCGCTGAGGGGACAGCGCTGGGCTGCACCCCGCTCGCCCTGGAGACAAGGTGGGGTCAGGGCTCCCCCGTTACAAAGGCGCCTCCCACCTTGCGGAGGGCGCGGTGGAGCTGAGAGTGGGGTTAGGAGGCCACCCCTCAGCCAGGGGCCCCGTTTGTGTGGAGACGCCGGGACCGCGGCGTCGGGGCCGCTCTGACTGAGGAGCCCGCGCTGCTTCCCGCCGCCCCTCCCTCAGCCCAGAAGCTTCTGTGCGGGGGCCCCTCCCCCGCCGTCTCCCCCGGAGAAGCCGCCTCCGCCGGAGCGCCCCCTCCTCAGGCCGGGGCGGGAGGTGCCAAACCCCCGGCAGCGCCTCCGAGGGGGAGGCGGCCATTAACCAACCGACTTTGACCCTTGGCCGCTGGCACCGCCCCAGGCCGCGGAGGGAAGCGGAGACGGAGGGCGGAGGGACCCTGGGAGGGCTCTTGCCTCAGTTTCTCGCCAGAAGTTTCTGGAAAAGGCGCTCTGGTTACCTGTGTGGTAAAGGCCGCGGCCCAGCGGGAAGTCTCTCAGCTCAGCCTCCTCTCAGCCCAGCCCCTCTCCTCGGCCCCGCACCCGGGGCCGCCCGCCCCGCTCCCGGGGGGACTGACGGGAGGGGGCCGCCTCCCTGAGGGGCACCGGCCCGGGCGGCGTGTTTACCGTCCCCGCTCCCCGTCCCCTTCCCCGGCGCCTCCCCGGCCGCCCTCACGGGGTGTGACTTGCCGCCTAGCTGCGCCCCGGGATCTGATAACCGAGCTTGGACTGAGGTAAAGGTGAGCCGGGAGCCGCGCGGGAGGCTCGGCGTGCTGTTATTTTTAGTTTATTTCGCATCCCCATCGGGAACAGATCATGTGCTGACTTTTACAAAGGACAAAGAAATTCCGCTTTTTGGAATCATTGACTTCCTCCGCCCAGTGATTTCCCCCCACAGTCCTGGCGGCCCCGAGGGGGCGGCTGAGGAGACCGCACCCCGGGGCTGTCCCCGGGAGTGAACGGGGCTCCTGGGTGTCCGTCACCTGCTGCTGGGACCCAGGGAGGGAGGCCCGCCGGCCCCCGCCCTGCAGGACGGTCCCGGCCTTGGAGGGTCTCATCCAGAGGTGCCTGCGAGAATGCTCCCTGTGGAGAATCCTGTGGAGTCAAGTAAAGGGTAGAAGTTAAAAAACTTAATTTTGCCTCAAAAGCCGTGTGGCACATTGGAGTTTTCCCACAGTTTTTGGAAATGAGAAATGGAATGTTCTCGGGCCACGCTCGGGTGCCCCAGAGGGCTGGAGAGTGGGGGGGGCAGGCCTGTCCCCTGGCGAGGCCATCCATCACCAGTCGACTGTGACCCCAGGAGCCGGCTGGGCACGTTTCCATCACCCCACCTCACAGGCTGGGCACGTTGTGACCAGCTAAGCATGGACCCCGTCCTTTCCCCCAGAGGCGCTGCAGGCTGGGGACAGGGAGTGTTTGTGGTCTGCCTTCCCGCCAGGCCCTCGACCCTTAAGCACAGAGCGCTGTGGAAGGAGTTGTGTTTTTACTGACTGGGCCCAGTCCGACCAGCACTCCAGTTCTCCCGGAGGCCCAGCCCAGTTCAAGAGGTTCCCCAACTCGCTCCCCAGGGCAGAACCTTTCCCGTGGGCCTCATTCTCCTCCCAAAGCCAAGGACAAGCCCAGGAAGGGGGGGGGGGGGGGACCGCGCTGGGAGGTGAAAGGGTTGCAGTTCAGGTTGAGATGCTGCCTGCTGGTGCCCTTCACTCCCTCTCCCCCTGGTCTCCCCTGGCGTTTCTCCTTTGTTAGGGCAATGCTGACTCTAGTGCTGGGAGTAATGCTCATTTCTTAGGATGCCCCCACCCTTTGTACCCAGGGGCTGAATTCCATTTCCTGGGCTGAAGGGGAAGCTCAGAGCACGTCCTCCAGGGCGTTAAGTGCAGCCTCAATCTGGCAAGCCAGAAAGGCTCTGGAAGGTAGCTGGAATGACAGGAGCATCCCAAGGCCTCTTCCAGGCCCCCAGCCACCCCCTCCTCTGCTTGGAGCCTCTGCTGCCTGTTCTGCTGTTCCTCAGCACGTGCCCACCCCAGGAGGCAGGCAGGCACCTGGCCCGAAGGCAGCGCCGGAACCTTAGAAAGGCCAGGAAAGTCAGCTTTGGGTCCCAGAATATATGTGTGGGGTGGGGAGAGAGTAGGCCTCCGGGGATCATGAGGATGAGGATGATTTAAAAAAAAAATTTTTTTAAAATATATTTTATTGATTTTGTACAGAGAGGAAGGGAGAGAGATAGAGAGTCAGAAACATCGATGAGAGAGAGTCATCTATCAGCTGCCTCTTGCACCCCCCCCACCGGGGATATGACCGCAACCAAGGAACATGCTCTTGACCGGAATCAAACCCGGGACCTTTCAGTCCCCGAGCCAACACTATCCATTGAGCCAAACCGGTTTTGGCGAGGATGATTTTTTTTAATGTAGTGATTTGAGTGAGAGAGGGAGAGAGATGTCACTGTGTTGTTCCACTTAGTTATGCATTGATCCGTTTCAACGGGGGTTGAACCTACAAGCTTAACATATCGGGACGATGCTCTAACCCAGTAGTCGGCAAACTCATTAGTCAACAGAGCCAAATATCAACAGTTTGGTTGAAATTTCTTTTGAGAGCCAGATTTTTTAAACTTAAACTATATAGGTAGGTACATTGTTATTAACTTCATTAGGGTACTTCTAAGCTGGCCTTTGCTAAAAACTCAAGGGGCCAAAGAGCCGCATGTGGCTCACGAGCAGTTTGCCGATCACTGCTCTAACCAACTGAGCTACCCAGCGAGGCTGGCGAAGGTTACTCTTGTAATTCCTGGGAAGTGTTGGCAGTGAACGACCGGTCATCAGGCTCTCCAGGGAGCAAGGCTGGGCGAGCAGACAGCAGGCAGTGGATGGGGACAGAAGAGCAACTTGGGCCTGGGCAGTGGGCTCGATGGGACTCCTGCCTGTCCCCTGGGGTGCCACCACCCAGGCTGCCAACCTGTTTGTTCTTAGCTTGGATGACCCAAGGCAGAACCTGCCAGAGCATTTGTCCCAGAAAAACAGCTGTGAGGGCAAGGCACAGGGAGGACAGGAGCGAAGCCTGGGCTTGGCTAATGTCTGGTTTCTTTTTAACACTGTTCACTTCTGACAAGTCTTGTGTGAAGTCCTGCAGGGCCCAGCCCCTGATGAATGGAGGGTAGGAAGGATGCAAACGGGGCATAGCTCGTGGTCGGGGCTGTCCACCTAGTGAGGACTGAGGGCACAGTTTCAACTTCATTACAGATGGTATGGAAAGTGGATGGGGGTGGGGAAAAGATACTGCCTGAGAGAAAAACGGGGTGTTCACAGAATGGGACAGGGTCTTCGGCTGGTGTTCCCATTCAGCCCTGGAAATACATGGGTCTGTCCTTCAGCTGGTGTTCATTCTGTGAACACCCCGTTTTTCTCTCCGGCAGTATCTTTTCCCCACCCCCCACCCACTTTTCATACCATTTGAAATGAAGTTGAAACTGTGCTCTCAACTCTCACACTAGATGGACACTGGCTTTCTTTCGGGCATTGCTCGCTGACCTGCTGGGGCCAGAGGAGACGGGCACAAGACCCTGCCCTTGCAGATAAGGTGTCAGGCTGCCTAACACCTACCTGGGTCCTCCCCCCATTTAGAGCCAAGTGGACCCCCACTCCAGGTCAGCGCCAGTGCCAGCACCAGCACCAGCTCTGTGGTCAGAGGCTGTGCATCCTCCCATCTGCTTCACTTGCTCCACCCCCCCACCCCCAGCCCAAGAGCTGGGACCAGACCTCCTGCCAGCCCTGGCCTGAGGCCTTAAACGGAGCAGGACCTGGCACTCTGTCCAGGATTTGGCCCAGTAGCTTAAAAAAAGATTTAATCCTGCCTGAGGAATTGCTTATTGATTTTAGAGAGAGGGGAGGGAGGGGAGGAAGGGAAACATTGATGTGAGAGGCAACATCGATTGGTTGCCTTCTGTATGTGTCCCGACCGGGATCGAACCCACAACCTTCTGGTATATGGGACGACACTTCAACCAACTGAGCCACACTGGCCAGGACGGACCCAGTAGTTTTCAATCCAAGAAAGACAGGACTTGCTGAGGGGGAGGGAGGGAGGGGAAGGCCTCGGATGGGCGGTTGCTCTGGGCCCGTGCCCTCGATGTCATGCAGGTGGAGGCAAGTTGGGCAACAGAAGAGGAACCCGCAAACCCCCTGAGGGAGTCAGGAGAGGGCCAGGCTGGTTTGGCCTTGGCCTTGCCACACGCCACAGCCGTGGGCGGGCAATGAATAGCCACAGCAGCCACCGCCTTGCCGGAAACATCTAATTAGGGGACAGAGGTGCACAAGGCGGGCCCAACCAGTTCTGCTTCCTGCCTCCTGCCACTCAGTGACACTCAGTGACAGGAGCGGCACGCCGATGATCACTCCCTGTGCGTGCGGCAGCCTCAGGGACACGCTTGGGGGAGGCGGGGAGGCAGGTTTGGCAGGGTGGCTGGGATGAGGCAAACATCCCCACCCTGGCAGCCCTGAGCTGCCCCTCTGTGGAGCTAGAGGAGGCAAGGAGGCCAGGCCAGGTGGACGCACACGTGCCCAGGTCCTTAGCTCTATCATGCCAAGGTGTCTGCGTGATGGGAGAGGCAGGCACAGGGTCTCCCAAACCAACGTGGGTCCTTAGAATGCTACCCATGGGCCCACCTGTCAAAGGGAACCGCGAGCCACACCAGTTAACTCGCCTGCTTCCCTCCTCCCTCTGCTGCTCCATGTGCACGTGTGGCCCAGCTCCCACTTTCCCGAGCCTCACGCACGCCCTCCTGCCCCGAAAGACAGAGCGGGGAGAAGTCCGGTTTGTCTCCACCTGGACTGAGAAATGGAGATTGTCATTCAGCTTTGAATTCTTGGCCAAGATCTGTAATAGCTGCTAAACTGCCAACACTCAGACACGCCCCTGTGCACCCCCAGCTCCCCCAGCCCGAGAATGAAAGCAGCCGCCCTTGTAGCAAGGAAGAAGTTGTGTCTCCCCAACCCCCCCTTGGGCTTGCTGGCCGGCCTTCCAGGGCCTGGGGAGGCGCCACGCCATCTCGGGGGCCAGGGCCAGGCACTGGTGAATCAACCCCGGAATGAAGTGGCTCATTAAAGGTCCCCGGACAGACGGACGCCAGTGCCAGCAGAACGGGTTTGGGCGGCAGGCCGCACATTCTTCCTCTGTCAGACCTTTGTTGTGTTTTGAGGGGGCGAGAGCCGGGGCCTCTCCCGAAACTTGGGTTCTCTCACATTCGCCCTCCCTCAGTACGTTCCCCTGCCCCCCGCCCTACGTCCGTCTGTCCACCCGGACCTCGTTGCAGTGGCCTGGGTCCCTCTGTCTCACCGGCTGTGGGCAGTGGGCCTTGTCATGGGCCCGACACCCCAACTCACCCTCCTGACTCCCTCCCCTGAAGCTCACTCGTCCTTCTTTCTGGGCCCCTCTGGGTTTTCCCTTCTGTGGCTGGGAAAAGGGTCCTCACGCATGGGGCCGTTTAAGTACAGAGCTTTGCATTTTTGGAAGAAAATTCTCAACTAAACTGAAACATTAGATTGCATGCCCGCCGCCAGCTCTGAGGCTGGTTTCCTGTGTGTCACTCAGGACTCTTCCTCCTCCCTAGTGAGGCCCGGGGCCAAGCCTCCCCGGCCCCGTTCGGTGTGGGGAGCGGTCATGTCAAAGGCTGCCAGGTATCGGTGCCGAGGAGGGCGGTGGTGCCCAGGAGGGCGGGCCCAGCCTCACTGTACAGCGAGCGGTCCTTGCTGTGGGGGAGGGTTGCGTAACAGCTGGGCAGGTGCCCAGGAGACTGTTACGCAGCATCCACCTGCTGCTCCCTGACCTCCTCCCTGCTCCACCCCACCTGGCCTGTTTGCCTGCCAAGCTGGGCCTGTGGGAGTGGGGACCCTGGAGCCCTACTGGGCTGCAGCAGCAGGGACTGGCCAGTCCGGAGGAGGAAGGGGCTAGGACCGTGGTCGGCAAACTACGGCTCTCTGGCCACTTGAGTGTGGCTCTTCCACAAAATACCACGGCCTGGGCAAGTCTATTTTGAAGAAGTGGCGTTAGAAGAAATTTAAGTTAAAAAAAATTTGGCTCTCCGAAGAAATTTCAATTGTTGTCTTGTTGATATTTGGCTCTGGTGACTAATGAGTTTGCCAACCACTGGGCTAGGAGCACCCAGTCCCCGAAGGCCAGCAGCTATCTGCCTGGAGGAGAGGCCAGGGTGGCCCAGGCCACCAGGAAGTCTCCTGGGGCAGGCTGAGTCCCTGGGCGCAGGCCTCCGGGGGCTGCCCTTTGTCCTCGCAGGAGCTTGGATGAGGCCCGGAATCCAGAGGGACGGGCCCAGGTAGGGCAGGCAGACTGCTCTGGAGGATAATTGGCAGGCAGGTTCGGTCCTCCCAGTTCCGCTAAGACACAAATTACTCAGCGGGCAAGCCTGTGGGTCGAGGCGCTTGGCTGGCGTCACCTGTAATTACCTTAATGGGGCAGGAGGGAGGTGCGGTGTGTAGTGGGCTGGGGGTAGCCCTGCTCTGCCACATGCCTGCCAGGGGCGGGATGGAGGCTCCAGGTTCCAGCCAGCTAATTGCCAGGGAACCTTTCTGAAGTCCCCCTGAGTCCCCCTTTCTCCACTAAGCCGCTCATGGCCCTTCTTCTCTCTGCAGTCAGCCTGGGCTTCTACCCACCACAGCCCCGCCCGGAGCCAGAGCCGTCAGTGGCTGAACCCCCTTCTTGCCCGCTGGCTTTGGACATGAGCCTTCGAAACTCCGGCTATAGCATGACCTCTGGACCCTGCGTGGTGGCCCAGCTGCCCTCTGAAGACATGAGCCGCCTGGCAGACCCCCAGAGCAGAGACCACGGCTTCCTGCGCACCAAGATGAAGGTACTGACCTCGCACTGTCTGAGGAACAGCAGGAGATGTGGCACAGATGAGACCTGTGGAGACCGGCCTGCGGGCTGGGCCCAGGTTTCTGCAGAGGTGACCCTCGCTGGGGCAAGGCAGGGGCTGGAAGAGGAGAAAAGTGGCTGTAAAGTGAGGCTGCCGTGCTGGGAAGAAGCAGAGGGTTCAAAAGACTTTTAAGCCTGTGGAGTCCATTCTGGGGGTTTAGTTTCATTTCTGGCCTCAAGGGGAGCCACCTCTTTACACCAAAATCCTAGGAAAATCCGGGAGACGTGAGGCCGGCTCAGCACCTTCTCCTGGGCAGCGACGCAGGGAGGCCTGGCAGTGGCTATCTGCTGAGGCACATGCTCAGAAATCTCTACCTCACCCAGCGCCCTCCAGGCCCTGCACATAGGGCAGGCGGGGGAGAGGGGAGCGGGGAGGGGGGACCCCCGCTGGGCTCAGCGGTGGAAGCGGTGCATGTGCCAGGCTTGGGGAGCACCCTGCGGCAGGGCTGCCCTGGCTGGGCCTGCCTTCCTGAAGCTCAAGGCCAGGAGGCACCCGCCGGCACTGATCTAGTGGAAGCGTTCTTGAAGCGCCGTCCATGTGCCAAAAGATTGGAGAAACTGGCAGTGGAATCCTGATCTTCCCTCTGTTTCCTGCGGAGGCCAAGTGTGTGTTGTAATGAAAGGGGAACCACCGAGATGTGTGCTGGGCCGGCCAGAGACCCAGCCCCTCGGGCCCCTGATCCCCACACCGCCTTCCTCCCAGCCTGGGCCCCAGTGGATAGGGAGGGGAGCCAGGAAAGCAGAGCGCACCAGAGAGCGGGTGCTGCAATGAGTCCTGGTCTTATTTTATTTTAATATATTTTTTATTGATTTCAGAGAGGAAGGGAGAGAGAAATAGAAACATTAATGATGAGAAAGAATCATTGCTCGGCTGCCTGGGAATTGAGCCTGCAACCTGGGCATGTGCCTTTGACCAGACTAGAACCCTGAACCCTTCAGTCCACAGGCCGACACTCTATCTACTGAACCAAACTGGCCAGGGCGAGTGCTGATCTTGACTAGCTGGCAATAAGGAGCATTTGCCCGGTGCCAGAGCACAGAGGAGGAGGTGCGGTGTGGCAGCTGCACAGGGAGCTCAGGAGGAGTTGCCGGCGATGGCTACCCACCCACCAAGGACAGGCAGCCTCAGAATATGCCTCTACTTGGGAATAGATTTGAGATTTTCCACAATAACAAAGAACAAAACAAAAAATGCTTAGAAGCAAGCAAGTCATCAGGTAGCTAAGGGACCCAAACCATATCATGTCGGGCCTGGCAAGTAAAACCATGGGCTGGGCTGACCAGGAGGAGCCCCAGGCTCCCAGCGGTGGCTTCAGCCGGAAGGGCTGTGCAGGAGACAGTGTTGTGCACATTTCCCCCGTCCCCAAGGCATAGAATGAGGACGGAGAACAGAAACGACGGGGAAGATTTGGGCTCAGCGAAGGGGAGAATGTCCTAGCAGGTAGAGTCGCTGAGGATGAATGGGGCTGTTTCTATAGGGAGTTCCCTGCCCATCTCCAGAAAAGAAGGGGCGGGCTGGCAACCTGGAAAGTGGACTTGGGAAGCACCTGCCAACCTGCAGTCCTGGCTGGTGGGTATCTGTCACAAAGACTGTCCTTGCCCACAGGTGACACTGGGCGACAGCCCCAGTGGAGACCTCTTCACCTGCCACATCTGCCAGAAGGCCTTCACCTACCAGCGCATGCTGAACCGCCACATGAAGTGTCACAACGACGTCAAGAGGCACCTCTGCACCTACTGCGGGAAGGGTTTCAACGACACCTTCGACCTGAAGAGACACGTCCGCACCCACACTGGTGAGAGGAGCCCTTGGGTGGCGCCTGCCTGAGGCCACGTGGGACACTCAGCAGGCCTGCTGTCTGGGGCGGGGGGCTGGGGGGACGCCGGAGCTCAGGGCACTCGGGGAGCTGGTGGAGCACAGGCCTCCGTCCCTTCCTCTTCCCCAGAGGCAGGGCCGGGCCTTCCTGTGCCGGGTCCCTGACGCCCGCCCTGTCCTCCTCGCAGGCGTGAGGCCCTACAAATGCAGCCTGTGTGACAAGGCCTTCACGCAGCGCTGCTCCCTGGAGTCTCACCTCAAGAAGATCCACGGCGTGCAGCAGAAGTACGCGTACAAGGAGCGGCGGGCCAAGCTGTACGTGTGCGAGGAGTGCGGCTGCACGTCCGAGAGCCAGGAGGGCCACATCCTGCACCTGAAGGAGCACCACCCCGACAGCCCGCTGCTGCGCAAGACCTCCAAGAAGGTGGCCGTGGCCCTGCAGAACACCGTCAACTCCCTGCTGCAGAGCAACCACCACCTCTGAGCACCGTCCGGCCCAGGCAGGGCCAGCACCCTGCAGCTTGCCAGCCCGCCTCCTGCTGGAACACTGGTGCTCGGGACTGGAGCCCCGCACTGACCTCTGCGCATGTCGGCCCTTTTGTATTTTGGACGGAGGCCGATCCAAACCTGTGTTATGGGCAGATGGGCGTGCGTCTGGGCAGGGGCCAGGCCAGGACTGCCTTTGAGGAAACAGCACACCCGCAGAGCCAGGAACTCTTTCCCGGAGGAGGTGGTCCTGTGACTTTCTGCCCCTGGAGCAGAGGGTGGGGCTGCTGGCCCCCCATGGATGGCAGGGTCAGGAGTACTGGCACAAAGCATCGTGAGAGACGGCGGTGGCGCTTGGCGATGACCCGCCTGGCAGTGCTTCCGACGCCCAGGACTGCAGGGTTCTGCCCTTGGCAGGGCGCGTGCGCAGCTGAGGATGTGCACGCCTGCACACACGAAGGCCTTTGCACGTATCACCTCATTTTAAAAAATCCATGACAAGGTGCCAAGGAGGTTTTATTTCCTTTTTTTAAAAGATGACAAATGTATAGATATTAATATATTTTTGGTGCTGATGGCGACTATTTTTGAGAGGATGAAGCTGGCTTATCTCTCTCCCATGTGGTTCTATTTATCCTGGACATTTCACATCCTCTGTGCTGTGCTCTGGGGTGGCTGCCCTGACGCCCCGAGCTTCCTACTTCCTGTGTCCTTCCTCCGGCCTTGCCTGGAGGATGCACTGCCCTCTGGTTCCGTGTCACGGAGACAGCACATCCCCTCTGCTCTTCCCTCCCACAGCTCTGCCTCCCTCCCACTGCTTTCTAGGCAGCCTGGCCGACTGAGGGCCTTCTGATCAGACAACAGATTTGTGCATAACAGTTCACGGTTGTGGAGGTCGAGGGCTTGTCCGGGTCCAGCCTCAGGGGTGAGCCAGGCAGGAGAATCTTTGAGAGGCCCGAAGCCGTGGCCTGAAGCACAGGAGAGTCCAGGCCAGGCCACAAGGCCTGCTCTTTTTCTGGTTGAGTAAAAAACCTGAGAACAGCAGCAAAAAATTGGGACAGAATAATAACCAGACACATCAGAGACCTATAGCGGGAGGACAGTATTAGATAGCTAATAAGTTGTATTTGTAGTCTTTTTTTCTGACTTTTTCAAGTAGCAAGGCTGGGTCCCGAGCCAGTGGCTCCAACTGAGGGACTCAGCCCCTCAGTTGGAGTGTGGCAGGTGTCCTGCTAATAACAGGCACGGGGTGTGGGTCAGAGGGGAGAGCTGGGCAGGGGCTGGAGAAGGCACACTTGAAAGCAGTCCACAGAACACAGCCCCTGGGCCGCCCGAAGACGTGCCCAGGGAGAGCAGCGCCCGCACAGCCGGCTCAGGGCAAGGAGCTGTCGCTGCCCTCTGCATGGAGACTTATTTAGCTTGGCTGAGAGTGGGCGCTGCTGTATTCTGGACATTGTATAGGACAGAATAACATCTGGAAGCTCTGTTTGTTTACATGTCTGTATCCCTGTGTTTCTTGCCAATCTGAAGAAGTCACAAAGCTCTGTGTTATCTATTTTATTTTATAACTTTCCAACTATTAAAATAAAAGAAAACCTTTTTTTCTGTTTTATAGGCCTATTTCCGCTTGCAGGAAAATTAATCCAAACAATTGATGCGTTCTATTAAAAGCCTTATCTTCTTACAGTCCCCAGTGGGCACAGACAAGGGCCTGACCGACAGGTTGGGTGGCCAGCCTCAGTCTCGGCAGTCAGTGCCTGCAGACTCTAGCCTGGCGGGGCCTCGCCCAGGGCTCTCTGCCTGCCCGATGCTCTCACATCCTGATCCCAGGCTTTCCATTGGGCGGGTACAATCATGCAGTCCAGTCTGGCCTCACTTCCCAACAGCCTGCGAGGACCACAGGAGGAAGAGCCACGTCCCCAAATAACAAGCACACAGTACATGTCACTGACGGGAGGGCCACACTTCACAGCACCTGTCCTGTGCCAGCCACACTCGTGTGTTACACGCCTCAGCTCACTGCACCTTCCAGCCACCCTCTGAGGGAGGAGGCTGTTGCCACTCGGCAGAGAGGTCAGGTGGCCGCCCAAGTCTCCAGCTACCCCATAATGGAGCGGCTCAGGTCTCTGCCTGCAGGCACTGCGCACACTGCCGTGTAGAGACCAGGAGGCCTCATGGCACCTCAAGAAAATCCAAAGGAACAGCAAATCTAGAGATGGCCTGGTCTTCCCCCTCGCCACCCAGCATCGTCAGGGAGACCTCATTGCCCAGGTCTCGGAGTCCCAGGTCAGTATTCTCCCATCACACCCTGCCAGGGGGACGAGGAGGAGGAGAGGCGAGCTGCCAGGCTGGGCCCTGGCGTGCTACTCCGCGTGGCACGGAAGGATCTGACCTCTAAGGCTCCCTGTGGGAAGCCCCGAGGATTGGGAAGGGCCACTAACCCTCCTGTGTCTCTAAATAGCTCTTTATCGCAAGGGCCCCCACGCAAAAGACCAATCAGATCTCCTTCCGCAGGTGCCACAGCGAGCGGAGCCCACTGTCAGAGCCCAGGTGATGAGCTGCTATGTGAACTGAGGAGGAGCTGAGGACAGGCAGGCTTCCAGGAAGCCAGGGGTGGGGCTCCCTCTGAGCTCTTCTCTCCCATTCCCCAGAGAAGCTCAAGGCTGGGACCCCTTCCCTAGCAGGCTCAGGCCAGTCACTTTTCCCCCAGCCAGATCATTGTGAGAGTTCATCATGGTCTCTAGACTTTGTATGACGAGGGAAACAAGAGTGACGGAAGTAGGCCCAGCTAGGAGAGAGGAACTTAGTGCGGGTCATATAACTAAGGACAAGTGGATGGCTGCATACAGATGCTAGGGGACCCAAAACAAAGTCTTTTGTATCTGAAAGAATGAAGACTTCTTGGAAGAGGTGGGACCCAGCTGGTCTGGGAAAATGGGAAGGTCAGAAAAGAACAAAAGAAAAGGGAAGGTGTTTTAGGGATCAGGCCCTAGCCGGTTTGGCTCAGTGGCTAGATCATTGGCCTGTGGACTGACGGGTCCCAGGTTCAATTCCAGTCAAGGGCACATGCCCGGGTTGTGGACTCAATCCCCAGTAGGGGATCTGCAGGAGGCAGCTACTCAATGATTCTCATCATTGATGTTTCTCTCTCTCTCTACCTCTCTGAAATCAATAAAAATATATTTAAAATAAAAAAATAATTAAAAACAACAAAACCCATAACATCTATGAGGGGCAATAAAGCAGGTCGCAATAAAACGAGGTATGTCTGTATCTCCTTCGACAATCTGGATGCTTGCACCATCGGTCAGCCACAGCACCAGTGTTTTTTGTGCCCTGCCCAGGTGCCAACAAGAACTGGAAACAAAACAAGATTCTGAGAGGCAGGAGAGCTGCCTGGGCCCTAGCAAGAGGGTCTGACTGAAGATGAAGGAAGAGTTCTATTTTCAAACCGAAACAAGGCCACCAAATGCAAGGCGGGAAAACTACAACAGGAAGTATATCTTCTAATTTTTTTTTTTACAATGGCATATATTATTTTTACAATGAGAAGATAATAAAGTTATAAAACAACTTAGGGTGTTAGTAGACTTGAAATTCAACACATGAACAGGGAGATGGGGCTGCCCCCCGAAAAGCTAATGTGACCTTTGACAATAACAGAGATGTGGCAACCAAGACAGGTGGCCAGGCGGCAGTCGGTGGGTGGCAGGGAGGATCAGAGACCGGGTGGAGGCCCAGCAAGTGACCTAACCCCTCAGTTTTCTCATCTCTAAAGTAAGGAGAGTTCCTACGTTCAAAAGTCCCTTTCTGCCGAAACCGGTTTGGCTCAGTGAATAGAGCGTCAGCCTGCGGACTGAAAGGTCCCAGGTTCGATTCCGGTCAAGGGCATGTACCTTGGTTTCGGGCACATCCTCAGTAGGAGATGTGTAGGAGGCAGCTGATTGATGATTCTCTCTCATCGATGTTTCTCTCTATCCCTCTCTCTTCTGCTCTGTGAAAAATCAATAAAATATATTTAAAAAAAAAAAAAAAAGTCCCTTTCTGCCCGGCCGGCATGGCTCAGTGGTTGAGCCTCCACCTGTGACCCAGGAGGTCACGGTTCCATTCCAGGTCAGGACACATGCCTGGGTTGCAGGCTGGATTCCCAGTGTGGGGCTTGCGGGAGGCAGCCAATCAATGGTCCTCTTTCATCACGGATGTTTCCATCTCTCCCTCCCTCTCCCTTCCTCCCTGAAACCAATGTAAAGAAATATTTTTAAAAGTCCCTTTCTGTTATAAAGACTTGGTTTCTAGGCCCCCATTTCCACAAAAGCCTGAGGAAACTGACCAACTGCAGTGGAGATGAGGAGGCGCCAAGGCTGAGAAGCTGCTCAGATCGGAAACATGGCTGCTGGCAGAGGGAACTGGCTTATTCCGGCAGTTCCGTGGGCAGACCCTGGGCCAGAGTGAGGGCTGGGGGAACAGACTCCCAGTGGGCAGACCCTGGGCCAGAGTGAGGGCTGGGGGAACAGACTGCACTGCAGGGAGCCCTGGCACAGCGTACCACAGGGTGGCTGCTGGGCAGGAGCCCGGGCACTGTCACCGCAGGGCTGCTGGCCAGGCTGGGCGGCCATTTGTTGGGAACTCCGGAGGGACTGGATCACGGGCTGAAGGCCGACAATCTCCAAGGGCTCTTTCCACCCACAGAGTCCACAAGGACGGGCCAAAGCGCAGTGGTCAGAGCTTCCAGGCCTGATCGCCATTCCCCAGGAGGCAGAGCCAGGAGGCAGGGCGGCGAACAGAATGAAATGGAGAGGAAGCCACCAGAGTGACCCCAGTTGGGAGGCTATTCCGTACACTGGGCTTGGGTGGTGAGGATGTGGACGCGCAGAGGGCTGGGGCTCCTCTCTCACTGCCACTGGCTCTGGCCCATCTTCTGGGGCCACTCCCTCAGGTGATGGCAGCCACTGCCCAGGATGTCCCCGACTCTTCCGTCCCAGACAATCTGCCCTCCTC